GCTCCCAACAACCTCTCTACTTCCTCTCCAGCTCTGCCTCTTCTGCTGCTGGCAGCAGTCCTCAGGTGGGCCACCTGCACCCAGCACCGTGCTGGTTCAGTTCAGCTGGGTGTTCCATATCGACCACTACATCTGCCCCATGGAGAGAGTGTAAAAAAGATATCAGGAGTATAAAAAAGATAAAATTAAAAAAATGATCTAAATACACTCTTAGAACTATTATAAACAGCTAGCACATGAAAGCTGCCTATTGTTCCCATCACCCTTTTAATTCCCTGCGAAGGCCCTCATGGTTCTCCAACAGGAGTCGTTTCTTCACACAAAGGCCAGCTGTTGTACTATCACGATCCGCTGTTACCCGTTAGCTCCAGACTGGAGATTCGGGCTTTTGTTAGAAACACAGCTGCAACATAAGAGCAAAAAATGCTTTAGTAAGAAACTCAGACCTTTGTCCAGTGCTATAACCTGAAGGCGGCACCTGGCTAACCCACGACCTCGCACACAGCTCTTCAGGAACTTCCTCCAAAGCTGCTTGTCCTGTCCCTGCCCCCTCAGCACCAGCACTTGTATTAGCTGACTGTGCGTGTGTGTGTGTGTGTGTGTGTGTGTGTGTGTGCGCGCGCTCGCAGATGCTGTAAGCATGAGCCATCACGCAGAGGTCAAACAGAGGACCAAGAGCCAAAATTCCCGGAAGCGCAGTGGTCAGGTTTCCTTCAAAAATGTGCAGAGGCTGTGTTTCTGGAGAGGAGGGCCCAAGTTCAAAGCAAACAAATGTACCACAGAGCATACAACAGCTTGTTTTCTGGAGGGCTTGTGCCTTGGGATCGGGATGCAGTCCTCTTGAATGCTACTGACCTTCTATAGAACACGCTCCTTGAACAGAGCTGCACTAACGTACACAGCTGCTCCGAGCCGGGGTCGGAAGCCTGTGTTCCTGCTTTCTGAGTTCACCCGCAGGTATCTCTTGGCGTGAGATGAGCCCGGGGCAGAAGGACATTGTGTGACACAGCCTGAGGCGCCCACTGGTGGACTCTTGTCTTCCCGTGGCACCCTCTGTGTCCTTGCACCGTCACTGCTGAGCCTGCAGGGAGACAGGGCCTCGAGGTGCCAGCGTGCTGCCCTGCGCCAGGCCTGAGCCCCCTGGCACCCGTCCCTTTCTCTGCACTGTGGGTCTCGTCACTGCCCTCTGCAGGGAATCAGAGTTGGAGCTGGGGGAGGGGCTGGCCAGCCTGCAGCATTCGCAGCAGGGTAGTTCCATGGGCTGCTCACAGGTGCTGGCCTGAGCAGGCCTGATGGCCGGGTGGCCTCACTGCTGGGAGTGGGAGCTGGGTGGGGAGTGGGGGCTGGGTGCCCCGTGAGCAGGAGAAGCTGGGAAGGTCCTAGCGTGTACACCACGAGGCCTCCTCAATGCCCTTTTTTCTTAGACACTTCCGTCCCTGTGGAGATTGCTGTGAAGAACGTGGAGGACTTTGTCACGGGGTCCATTTAGTTTTCTGACACCTCATTTCTCTCCTACTGCCTTTCACTCGTTCATTTTCTCCTGAGGGTGAATCTCCAGTCTGGTTCCGTCCCTCGCTCCGAGTGAGTCACACGGCGAGCTGGGTGTGGGGCCACAGACCCAAGCAGGCGCAGGCTCTGCGGTGACAGCAAGTGAAGTGTGGCCAGGGCACAGCCCCTTCCTCACCAGCTGTCCTAACCAGGCTGCCCTGGCCATCCGGGCGTGTGCAGTGCGCGTGGCCCTGTGTGTGAGCCAGCCCTCTGTCGCTGTGACACACACCGAGGCAGTTTCTAAGGGAGGGAGGCCTGTTTGGCTCCCGGGTACAGAGCTTCCGGTTGCTCTCTCCTCACTGTGGCCAGGAAGCCAGAAAGAGAGGCAGGAAAGGGCTGCAGCCACCATGCCCCAGGGGATGCCCTAGTGACGAGCTGCCCCTCGGGGCCCTCCCTGTAAAGGATCTGTCTCCTAATGGTCACAGCCTGGCCACCAAACCTTCAGTGTGTGTCCGTCTTTTGGGACACTGCTTCACACACAGCAGGAGGCCAGAGCCCATCTTTAGTCGCAGGGGAATGGGCGCCTCCTATAGGGGACCCCTTGTGCACCCCCAGAGGCGAGGTGGGGGGAGCAGATTAAGAACAAAGGGGAGAGAGAAAGAAGCCCTGAAACGCTGAGATCCGGGTCTTTGCAGGCTCTGTGGAGCAGGGAGCAGGGTTAGTGCAGATGCAGACGTCCTCAAGTCCAGGTTCGTCAGTGTTGTTGACCCGGGCATCCGTTAACCAAAGCTGCAGTCGTGGGAGAGGGCAGAGGTTAACCTACTGCCTCTGCAGGCCACGGGCGGACTGCTGCTGGATTTTGTCATCGCTGGGTTTTTGCACCAGTCCAGGGGCCACCGTCAGACGAGGGGCACAAGGCGCATGGCCAGTGCTTGCCCTGCACGTGTGGGAGTGGGTGAGCTCAGCCCAGGCTGCGCGGGGCACCAGGGGCCTCTGTGCTGTCCTGCTGCTTCCCTGGGGAAAGGACCAAGTCTCGTTCTTAAACCAGACCAGACTGGGCCTCCTTACCCGGAGCTTTAATGGTCGTGTTGGGGGAGGGGATAAAGATTACTGCAAGAGAGAAATCAGTGCGGAAGTGATCAACAGGAAGAGAGACACCGACCTTGGCCTCGGCTGCCTTGGGAGGGCGCAGGTCTCCGACAGGACCTAGTGTCGCGTATGTCAGGCTTGTGCACCTCTGGATTCGCAAGGAGGAAGCTGCTGTCCTCTGCTTCCTTCCTCGGCTTCGTGTGTCCTCATCCAGATGCGGGCACCGCTGTGCTGCTTTCCCGTGAAACAGCCGAGCGGCGAAATGACCCAGGAGCGGTGAAATGACCCTGGCCCGGTCAGTTCTTGGGTGGGGTCCCAGCGCCAGAGCACGCCGAGCCAAGAATTCAGAGCCGCCTGCCGAGATCTGGCTGCAGGGCTGCTCGGATATTTGGGGCTTCTGCCGGAAGCAGCTTGGGTTTGACTCAAATAGCAGCTTAGCTCCAGAAAGAATAGGTGGCATTTTGAGAGATTTGCTCACCAACTGCACAAGAGGGTCTCTGTCCCGTGTGCTGGGTGTCCCCACGACCCGCCCTGCCTGCACATTCTGCGAGCTCCACAGTGATGAAGGAATGACTGGGTCACCAGCTGGGGTGGCCGTGAAGGCCCCTCCTGCCGGAGGCCAGCCCACGCTGGTTTTCTTTGGGCACGGGTCCTACTGGTGCGGGTGATCACGGTGGCGCCGGGCATTGAAGGTGTCTGTGCCAGGTGCCGGCTAAGGCATCTTGCACATAGGGCCTCACTCTTTTAGCCTGCGTTCTGCAAGACAGATCATCTTGACTCCTTTGCCAGCAAAGAAACAGATTCAGAGAGGTTAAGTCCTTCCCTCCGAGGCCACGCAGCGAGGCACTGGTGGTCTCACCTTGTAATTCACTGAGGAAGCGACTCAGCCAGCAGGAGGCTTTCTGAATCCCCGAATAGGGAGCTCTGCCTGCCGATCTGGTGGTGAAAGGCTGAACATGAGAACAGCGCTTTGCTGTGGTCGCTTCCCCGCCTGGGTCTCTCTGCCGCCCTTCTGCGGAAGCCGCTCCCAGGGCTGCCAGCTGCTGTCGGCTCCCACACGCGCCCCCTCTCCCTGCTACACCCCTCGGTCTCTGTCACTGCTTCTCCTCTCGAAGTCCCCCTTCCGTGCCAGGAGAGGTGGGCCTTGGACTTCCTCCTCCTCATCGCTATCTTGCAGTCTCCCCTGACCGACTCACCAGGCCCTGGCTGTGGGCACCCTTCTGCCTGTGACCCCCACTTTAATTCCAGCTGTGACTGGAGATCTGCCTGGCTGCTCTCCCTGCAGCCCAGTTCATCTTCTGCATCTGCATGCACAGCATCAGCCTGTGTTGCTGAGAACAGAAATTCAGGCGACTTGCTGGAGGCGGCTCCCTCTCCGGCTGATCTTACCCAGCAAGACCCAACGCTGCTTCCTCCCAGGGCCTTGCGTCCGTCCGTCTGTCTGCCCTCACCACTGCCTCTTCTCAGCTGCTGCAGGTGTCCGTTTTCCCTGCCCTCTTTTCTTTTGCTCCTGCATAATACTTTCTTCCTGAAACAACCAGAGAGCTGTCTCTAGCCTTATAGTAATTGGATGTGCGCTGCATCAGGCGTTTAGGTGTCTCAGTGCTGGTTGCTTCTGTAAGGAAAGACTTTAAAGTGGGATCTTTATAAATAACAGGCATTCGTTTCTCACGGTTCTAGAGCCTGGGAAGTCCAAGGCCAGGTGCCAGGGGATGGGGCTGGGGAAGGCTTGCTCTCTGCTTCGTGGACCGTGCCTGGTCACCATGCCCTGCGTGTTATGTCAGAAGGGCCAAGAGGAGGCAAATAGAACCCTAAGCTCTTTTCTAGGGCTCTGAGCCCATTCGTGAGGACAGAACCCTCCTGTCCTAACCACCTGCTAAAGGCCCATCTTCCTGATGTTTCTGGGGGAGTTTCTGAGCACGACAGAAAGCCACGAGTTCTCCGTGAGCACCTCCCACCCATCCTGGCCTTGGCACCAGCCGTACCCTCTGTGCCCCTTTTCTGCCAGTCACAAGGCCAGAGCCTCCTGGCTCCCAGTGCCGGTGAGTCCCCCAGGGAGGGCTCTAGGTCTCTCGATCTTATTAGGGAGCCACCCTCCCCCTCCTTTATCTTTGCAGCTCTTCCGCTGCCCCCCAGCAGCTTCGTGTTTGAAAGCTCTTAATGTTTGTGATGAGACCTGGATGCTATGGGGTGAGCTCCACAAGAGCAGGAGCCTCCGGGCACTGTTCTGCTGTCTCCCAGAACTGCGCGGAGGGTTCAGTGAGGGAACGAACGCACAGCCACCCTGCTGCTTCACGTGCCAGGTGCTTCTGACCCCATGGAGTCCCTGCCACCCTGTATGCCCACCTGTCCTCTCCTGATTAGGCTGCTTCCGTGCTGTCTCTGCCTTCGGTGGACTCTGTCAATGTCTCTGCTTCCTGCAGGTGATCAAAGAAGCCTACAGCGGCTGCAGTGGCCCCGCAGACCTGGAATGCCCGGTCCCGGCCAGCGCCCCGGTGCAGAAGGCGGAGCTGGAGAAGGTAACAGACCAGGTCTTCCACAAAGGGGACACAGTGGCCGAGCTGGGTCTCCCGCAGAAAGTGTTCTAAGTTCTGAAGGTGGACTTCGACTCTTGGTGGAGGCACACAGTACAACTGTACATTCCTACAGGGTGCAGCGTGACCTGTTAATACAGGCGTCCCAGGATGTTCAGCAAATCCACCACCCCAGACAGTTACTATTTCACTGTGTCGGGAACATTCAAAATCAGCCTGCAATTTAACAACATTCCCCGAGTTTAGCATTTCTGGGTGGAAAACAGTACAGCCCTGCTTCCTGCCCGCTGAAATGCCCCCTTGGGCTAAGCCGGGTGGTCAGTTCTCAGGCTGTGGTTAATTTTGCTCTCCTCTGCCATGGGTGAGGAGGAGGCTTACAGGTGCAGAGGGTCTGGTACAGAGCAGGGCTGAGGCCAGGGCTGGCTCCTCCAGCCCGCTAAGCCAGCCTCCCAGTGGTTTGCTCCCTGCAGACTGGGACCCGGCCCTTCGTGCCCACTCTCTGGGAAGGCAGAGCCCACTCCTCCTCAGCAGAACGCATGGAACTGGTGTGGCTGTGCCACCTGTGCCTTCCGGCCATTCCCATGGAGACCCATGGCTTCCGGCTTGAGCCCCAGGAACTTTCGGAGGCCTCTCTCTTCAGCCCTGACCAGGGGACAAACAGATCCCTTCTGTCCATCCTTGCATTCATCAGAGTTCCCCAGAGAAGCAGGACCGATGGATGTGCGTGTGTGTGGGAGCAGATGTTCTAAGGAGCTGGCTCACACAGTCACAGCGGGTGCGAGTCCACATCTGCAGTGTGGGCCAGGGGCAGAGACCCGGGAGGTCCCCAGTGCAGATGAGTCAGTGCATCTGCTGGACAGTTCCCTCCCCCAGGGAGGCGGGCCTTCCTGTTCTCTTACCACGGCCTTCACCTGATTGGACAAGGCCCACCCACATTGTGGAGGGCCTATGCCCAGAATCCGCCCATTTAAACCATCTGGAAACACCCCTGAGGCTCACACACAGAACTCGCCATCTGATGCCTTGACAGGACACTTTTTCTCCTGAGGATAGCACACATTCCTGCTCTTTGTGGAAAATGCAGAAAGTTTTGAGAAACACAAATAGGGAGTAAAAAGTCCCGCTGAGTCTGCCCCATGGGGGAGTGCCCCTCCCCCACGCACTGCACACGTAAACCAGCCTTTTCCTGTGCTGCCTTGCTCTTACAGTCCGGGTGATCTTACGCATCCAATTCCTTACGCTGCTTTCTCCCCACATCATCACGAGCAGCTGCATAGGACACGCGCGGACTGTCCGCTTGCCCCTGTCCTGTCCACTCCCATTGCAGTGTTCTCCACTCTGCTGTTTAAAACAGCCCCGTAGTGGACATTTTTTGCATAAATCTTCGTGGCATCTCTGCCTATTGTGCGAGAAGATTTTCCTGGGAGCTGAAGTCCTAGACCGAAGGATAGAGCTGTGCTGTGCTGTGTTGTGTTTTGTTTTCTAGGAGTTTGACTCACGTAGCTAATCCGGGTGCTTTTCTAAAACCTCACTGTGCTGTCATTTCCGGTCGCAGTGCACGGTGTTCTTTTCCTGCACCCTCAGAACTCGCTCTTCGCCTTCCCGGATTTTGGGTTCTGAGGCCGCGTCGGTGGCGGGTGCCCTCTCATCCCCAGTTCCTCGCCCGCGGCCCTTGTGGGGTCACAGGCAGAGGCTCCCTCCTCGGCCAGCACCCCCGGCCCCGCCAGCGTCCTAGGAGTCACGCACGGGTTTCCTTTGTGTCTGGCTCCAATTATTAGTGAGTGGCAGGAGGAAATTAAATGGATGATGGAATGAATATTTAATTTATGCAAGGATAATATGGCTCGACGAGGGAATTTTTTTGTGATCGTAATATGTTCTCAAAAATTGTTTGCAAGAAAAAAATTATTTGAATGAAATAGGCAGGGTCCTGTCACAGCCAGTTGCTTTTCTTCATTTCTGGTGTTTTTAAGGCTTTCGTGATAACCTCACGAGCCAGGCTGAGGCGGGGTGAAGCCCGGCTCTGCGTGTGTTGCTGCGGCTTCGGCCCACATTCCCTTCGCTTTGTAGGTTGACCCACCCTGCGCGGCTGCTCCCGTGGCTGCGGAGGAGTAACCCAGCCCTTTGTGTGCTTCCAGAAGCTGTCCTCGGAGAGGCCCAGCTCGGACGGGGAGGGCGCCATGGAGAACGGGGTCGCCTGCAACGGGAAGGAGCAAGGTGAGCGCCACTGTGCCCGACGCCGTGAGGCAGGTGTGATTGTGAGACGCACCTCGGGTGCCTCGGCCGTGCACGTGTCACTGTCCCGTGTCCTGCCGCGTGGCGGTGGCCCGAAGAGTTCACACTGGTGAGCGTGGTAGTTGCTTCCTCCCCTGAGTGACCACTGGGGTGCGCTCAGGTTTGCCTCGGGCAGTGGCTGCGAGGCCTGATTTCCGGGAAGAGCTTTGGGTAATGAGACCAGAAAGCCGAGCCCCGCGCCCCCCGGAGCACCGCCCTTGCTTGGCATGAGATTCTGCCCAAGCTTTCTCAGTTATAAGGCTCAGCTTCCTCACCTTCACACGAAGGGGCCAAACTCACAGGTTTGTGAAGCTTTTTGTTTGAAAAAAGATTGTCTGAAGAGGTCCTTGTTTTACTTATATTTAATTTTTTTAAATTTTTATTTCAAAGAAAATAGTACAGAAAAAGAATAATAGCAAAATACAAACAAAACAACACAAGGACATTAAAAATGATATGGGGTTCCAAACCAAATGATAGGGATTAACAGTGGTTGTTATATTACATATTGTTATGTTCAGCGAAGTTGCTCAGATTACCAGATGTAAGAATAGAAGGTTGATCAAATCATTAAAGGGAATAAGAAAATAATAATTTAAAAGAAGATTAGAGACAATACATAGTTTCACTAGACAGGATTGTAGGAATTCACCAGTGGTTGTTATACTGCAAATCGTTGTCGTCACATAAGTTGTGTATTTAATTTTTTAAAATATTATGGCAAAACACACGTGATGGAACTCACCTCTTAACCCATTTCACGTGTGCTGTTCGGTGGCCTCAGACACATTCTCATTGTTGAGCAGCTCCCATCCATCGCCAGAGCTTCCCGGACAGAAACTCCGTGACCCCCCCACCCCCACCCCCATCCTGAGCCGCAAGCCACCACTGTGTTGTCTCTGGATCTGGCTGCTCTAGGACCTCGTGGAAGGCGCCTGAGGATCTGGCCCCTCTGTCACTGGCTCACTCGCTTACCATGATGTCGTCAGGGTTCATCCACATTGCAGTGGATATTAGAATTCCCTTCCTTTTTAGGGCTGAGTAATATTCCATTATACAGAGTGACCACATTTCCCTCATCCATTTATCTGTCAGGGATGCGCCATCAGGGCCACTTGCCTCAGGGTTGTTGTGAGTAATCTGGGAACACAGATGGACAGATGGTGGAAACACTTTTTAAGCTCAGGCTTATAGAAGTACAGATTATATCACAGTACAATTCTCCTGTTTGGGCCTGCACTTCTGCGGGTCTTGGTAAACACTGTGGGTGTGTCACCACTGCCAGTCAGACAACACCTCTCACCCAGGTGTGGCTTGCACTCTTCGCGTCCCCACGGCCTCCGCCGCACCGCCCCTGGCAAGTGCTGTCCCTGCTCTGAGCCCCAAGGCCGCGGTGGCAGCTCTGAGCTGGGCTGGTTCTCCTAAGGCCGCGTCCGCCCGCCTCCCGTGCTGCAGTGGGCGCCGGCGCACAGCCGCTTCCTGCCGCCGCGCCCTCCCGTGGCGGACACAGCGGTGCACCGGTGCCAGCGCAGGGCACCGGGGTCACTGTGTATAGAGCTGTTCTGGACACCCTGGTGTGGACACATGGCTCCGTGTCGCTCGCCTGCGCACGCGAGTGGCTAAGTCTTACGCACCCTACCAGCCCGGCCCGTCCTCCGGCTCCGTGTCCTTCTTCGCCGGTGTGTGGCGGCCGTGGTTTCCTTGGTGACCGGCGCCATGAGCCGCCCCATCTGCTCCCTGGTGAGCCTCCTGTCTCCTCTCGTACTTTCCCGGGTGTGTTTCTGCTTTATGAGCTTGGGTCGTTCACGTATTGTGAGCGCCGACCCTGGGGCAGGTGTGTGTCTCACACAGGTCCTCTCCCCATCCGCGCTGGACGCTAACGTCCGAGGTGAGGGTGGGTGTTGGAGGAAACCAAACCTTTGTGCGCTCCTAAGGCCCATACCTTGGCTGCAAGGGTCACGAATCCACGCCCAGGCCACATGCCCTCTGTGGCTAGCATGAAAGGCCTGGAAGGCGACCAGCCCCGAACCCATGGGGACCGTCACACCGGACGGGTCAGTCTGGAAGGTCGTGCCGTCTGCGCCCCCACACGTGGCTTTCCAGTTTGGTCTGCGTATAATTTTAGTCCTGTCTGTCGGAAGCCAGTCAGTGAAACGTATTATCTGTGTCTCCCACGGGGACATTAATTATGTGCAGTCTAAACTGCAATGCTATCTTTGTTTTGTCCTGAAGCAAAATTACATTTCCATGTTCCACTTCACTGTGTTTTTTTGTTGTTGTTTATTTTTCTTTTGGGGGGATTTTGTTTTGTTTTGAGGGGCAGTCCCACTCTGTCACCCAGGCTGGTCTCAATCTTGTGGGTTCAAGCTGTCCTCCCGCCTCAGCCTTCCAAGTGCTGGGAAGGCAGGTGGGCTCTGGGTCTGGCCCTTGCCGTGCCGCTGAGGTGTGTGAGACGCTGGCTGCCCCTTTTCTATTATTTCTTCCCCCGATGTACCTGAGTGAGGGGACTCCACAGTAGTGGATCTGTCTGCACCCCCTGCAGGTGAGCCTGTCAGTGTCTGACATCCCCGTTTGCCGCTGACCAAGCAGCCTCTGTCCTTGGGACGAAAGGTGACCTGGCCCAGGCCTTGCCTTTCCCTGGTGTGGTGCTTGGCTCCCGGCAGACACTAAAGTCGCCGGAGGAGCTGGTGCTTCATCCTAACCTCCATCTCCTCTTGCTCTCGGCTGCTTGCTGAGGGGAGATTTCAGGTCTGACTTGTGTGGGCTTCTCTGCTGGCCCAGTAGAGAAAGCCTGAACCCCGACAGCTGTGCCCCAACATTCGGGTCACACTCAAAGCCTGCAGCCGTCCACAGTGCCCATGGCCAGAGCCAGGAGTGTGGCTCTGAGACTCCTGCTTCTTCCTTTGAGGTGGGCGCCCTCTGGTTCCAACACCAGTGCAGTGTGAGCCAGGCTTGGTGGCACACACCTGCAGTGCCAGCAGTCTAGGAGGCTGAAGCAGGAGGATCACACATTCAAGTTCAACCTGGGTGACTTAGCAACTTAGTGAGACTCAAAAAAAAAAAATTAAAAGGGCTGGGATAGGGGCTGGGGATTTAGCTCAGCAGCACAGCACCTACCTGGCAAGCGCAAGGTCGTGAGTTTGATTCCCAGTACCAGAAAGAAAAAAAAAGGGCTGGGATATGGCTCAGTGTGAAGGCCCTGAGCCCAAGGCCTAGTATTGTGTGTTGCTGTGCATGCGCTCTCTCTCTCTCTCTCTCTCTCTCTCTCTCTCTCTCACACACACACACACACACACACACACACACATACACACGACCCTGAAGGAGAGCCTGTTAGGGTGGCTCTGATACCGAGGGGACGTGAGGGAGGAGTGAGGTTCCGATCCCTGACACGTGGCAGTGGTGGGACAGCCAGCGCCGCACACCCCTGGTCCTCAGGCAGGGCCCGAGGGGGACGTGCTGGGTCCGGAGCTGGTGGAGTAGTCCCCAACCTTTCTCCCACTGCGACAGGGAAAAGCATCTGGATTCCCGTTTCTCTGGGACTGGCTGGCGATGTTTGGCTCTGTGAGCGGAGCAGAGTGTGCTTTGCCTCGGGCGCCTCTGTCACCCGTGTCCCAGCTCCCGCTCGAGTCCTTGCACACTTCTGCCGCCCTCTGCCTGGAGCTGAGCTCTGAGTGTCAGGCACTGTTCCCTAATTCCGTGACGGGCACCTGGCTCTGCCTTGCTCGAGCCAAATAGCAGCTGCAGAGGGTCTGGGGGCTTCCTTCCCACGAGGGTGAACCAGCCCCTCCTGTTGCAGAAGTCAGTCGGCGAGCAGCTGAGGAGTCCAGGGCGCTGGCCGTCCCCCTACAGCTCTGTAGTGGAGTCCGCAAGTGTGTTCCCGGCAGGAGCCAATCTCAGGGCAGCTGAGGGGCCCAACAGCCCAGCTCCAGGGCCGAGCAGGGTGCTGGGGTGCTGTGCCCTGCTGGGCACCGCTGTCCTGGCCGTGGCGCCAGGCAGAGCTTCGCTGGACGAGGCGGAGGTAGAAGACACGCTGCAGGCGCTTTGCCGACAGTAGGGCGCAGCTGTCACGGTGCCTTCCGTTTTGGTCTGGTGGAGCTGCAGTCAGAGCAGCCGAGCTGTCCCTGCCGGGGCACTGGGTTTTCGGTGCTTCCTGGTGTGCACGAGACCGTGGGAGAGGCAGGGGTGGCATTCCTGTGTGCGTCATTCCTGAGATCATGTGAGGGCGCGACTTGCTTCATTTAAACTAATACACAGCTGATAGGACTGTGTCGCATTAGGCAGCTCAGGCTGCCAGGGCAGAGCTCCACAGGCCATGGGTGAGACCGCAGGCGCCCGCTGTCTGGCTCAGAGGTGTGCCCTGTGGACATGACACTCCCCATGAGATGACTTTAGTGAACATTTGGGGAGGTGACACACCTGTCACTTTGGGTGGTTTCCGTGGCAGGTGGCCGTGTGCTCGGTGCGTCCTCACCTGCTCCTCCTGTGCAGGTCTCTTCTTACGGAGATGCTGAGCCTGGGGGCCAGGGCCCCCCAGCATGAGCCCCTCTCACCTGGGAGCTGCCCCGGTCCACGTGGGCTCCAGGTGCTGATGATGCCCACGTGGACACCATGCACTAGTGTCTGCGTGTGACCAGGCCCAGGCTCGAGGGAAGCCAGAAGCCCTTCCTGTGCAGTCGATCCTAACAGCACAGCACTGTGGGCAGGAAGGCAGTGCGGGCCCGAGAGCCCCACATCGGGCAGAGCGAGGGCCCAGCAGATGGGCTGGGGGCCCCGGGAGGACCCAGCACCCCGGTGCTGCAGATGCGCCTTCGGGCCAGGCAGCACCTCTGCCCTGTGCCCCTGGGGCCCTGCTTTCCAGCAGTCCTCTTCCGCCTGGCCGGCTCTTCCCGGGGTCGGCGGGCTGAGTCCCTGCAGTGAGTGCTGAGCTAAGGGCAGGCGCTCGGGCACGAGGGCACCACTCGCCTGCACAGCCCTGCGTGACCTCCGTGCGTCACTGTCACGTTGTACGCCCTCTGTGTGCGTGTGCCTGAGAATGCGTGCACGTGTGTGTGTTGCTTGTGCACGAGTATGTCCGTGTGCACACCGTATTGTTTGTGGTGCACGCGTGTGCCTGCAGTGCTTGTTGAGGGGTGTGTGATGCTTGTGATAGGTGCGAGTATGCCCGAATGCCTGTGTGTGCCGGGCCTGCGGGGGAGCCCAGTGCCTGTGAGCAGTCCTGTGACCCTGTGTGGTGTGGGTCCCCACATCCGCGCCCGCAGCCGGCGTGGAGGCGCTCGGGGGCCTGAAGTGCAAGCGTCGGGGGACGTGTGGTGCTTTCTGCCTTCTTTTCTCGTCAGCGTTTTTGGCTTTGTTGTTGACAGTGAAGCGGAAGAAGAGCGCCAAGTCGGAGGCGAAGGGGACGGCGCCGAAAGTCACTGGGAAGAAGATCACCAAGATCATCGGGCTGGGGAAGAAGAAGCCGTCCACAGACGAGCAGACCTCGTCCGCCGAGGAGGACGTGCCCACCTGTGGTGAGACGCGGGCCCCAGGAGCCGGTGGGCGGGCTGCAGGGTCCCCATGCAGGGTCCCCACGCCTGGGCCCCGGGGGCTTCCGCAGTGTGCTGTGGGCGTCTGGGTCGTGGGGAATGCAGTTTTCCTGCCGTAATGAGTGGCATCACGGGCTTGGGGTGATCCCGAACTTCTTGCCAGATGACAGGCCCGGTGAGCTCCTCCCGGTTCCTCTCCAGCACTGCCAGCCCAGAGCAGCTGGGGCTTTGTGAGGGAGGGCGTGCAGAGCTGCAGAGCTGTGGGACTGAGATGGGGCGCTCCCGCAGGCTGCAGGGAGAACCCCGACGTCTTCCACGGTAACACTTCCAAACTTCAGTCTCCACCCAGTGGCACCGTGTGGGCGCAGACCCGCGCGGCCTTCAGGCGTGCACTGTTTCCCGGGCGTGCGCTGGGCTTGTGGTGCACGACTGTGACCGGAATGGCTGTGCCCTCCCGTGGGTCGGCCTAGACAGGTGCAGAGCACAGACTCGAAGAGGCAGCACCTGTCCTTGGTCTGATCGGTCACAGGAGGGGCAGTCAGTGGGGGGCCCGGGGCGGGCCGATGGGGCAGCCTCTGGCGGGGGCTGAGAGCTCTGTTTCTCAGCGGCCAGCTTTAGAAGGATCGTGCCGCTGCTTTGGGAGGAAAGCTATAGACGGGCATTCGGCCTCGTCGCTTAGACCACGCTGGGGTTAAACCCGGGTCTTCCGCGTGCTAGGCGGGTGCTCGACCGCTGACCCGTCGCCCAGGACGTTGTCAGAGCACTGGCTGCACGTCAGTGTCCCGCAGCGCACACCATCGCTCCTGTTGTTCTGTCTGCACCTGCACCCCTCCCTCGGGGCCCCGCCACGCTTTCACCGAGGACCCATCGTGTCCGAGGCACGGCACTTTCCTTGGGAGGCCACAGGTGTGTCGCTCGGGCCCTCCCCACTGGCGTATTTACCCTTGGGTGATCTGTCCCGAGTGCTGCTGTCCCTGCCCGTGAGCCTTTACTGGAAGGAAGCGTCCAGGTGGAGCCCGTGGGAGGCGGCACAGGCCGAGTATGCAGGGTGGGCGAGGGCCGCAGGAGCCTCTACCAAGCTGTCCCAGGGCAAGACGGTGAGTCTCCGCACCCTCCCAGCAGCACAGGCGTCCGTGTCCTCCAGCCCTGCGTAGCATCCACCTCTCGTGGACGCAGTGAGGTCCTGCGGGAGGCCGTGGTGTCAGCCTTATGAATTGAAGGTGTCCCCCCGGACAGTCCAGAGAAGTGACCACCCTCGGTTGGGTTGGGCAGACTGGTGTCACTGTGCGGGCAGCTGGGGTCTGGTGAACTTGTTCTTGATCGAGGGCAGCTGGGGCAGTTTCCCAGTCTCCTCTGGATTCGCTCTCCGGAGCAGGGAACACGCTGTGGGTAGCCCAGGTGGCCTGTTGTGGATGGAGCGGGAATGATGAGGGGGTGCCACCGTGCTGTGCCCTGTGGACACGACACTTCCCATGAGAGGACTTTAGTGGACATTTGGGGAGGTGACACACCTGTCACTTTGGGTCCCAACCACATCTCAGCAATCAGGAGCAAGCCAGCCCTAGAGGGCACAGGCTTAGAGCCCCATGTCCGTGTGTTCGTCCCACAACTCCCTGCTGGCCTGGGAGGCCACACGTTGGGTCAGCAGTGGCGCCGTGGGCATCGGCACCATGCTGGCCGTGGGCAGTGCTGCACACTCTGACCGCGCCTGCTGCTCTGTGGATGTCTTGGGGCCCAGCTCCTCCCAGCTGCTTCCAAAGGAGTCCTGACAGTGTGCTCAGGCCCACCTTTTAGTCACGTGTGACCAAAGCAAGGTCCCTCTCGGGTGGGCCCGCCACTCCCTTCTCTGCCTTCCTCCTACAGCTGCCTAAATTCCAGAGCCACCTGGCCTGCCACCAGAGACGTCAGACATGGGGACAGCTGGCTGTAGGGGGGTTTGTGTCTGCCCCTCAGCCTACACTTCTTATTTAGTCTGTGCCTGTGAATTAAGTGTGTGTGTGTGTGTGTGTGTGTGTGTGTGTGTTACTGGGAGTTGAACCGGGTTCTTCACACTGACCTATATCTCTAGAGATTATTTTCTAGAGAGACAGGGTCTCTCGAAGTCACTAAGTTGTCCGGGCTGAGCTTGAACTTGTGACTCTCTGGCCTCAGCTTCCCAGAGTGCTGGGATTACAGGTATGGACACCATGCCTGCCTTGTAAAGTTAACTTTATAGTTTTACTGAAGCCTTCTCATGCAACTGTGCCGTGGTGCTGAGAAAGATTTCCTTCTTTAGAATGTGGAGCAGAAATAACCCGAAACCACTGAGCTGAAATCCCCAAATTTTAAAGGAGCAGTAGCACCCTACCACAATAGAAATGGGATCAAAAAGCCTCAAAACCAATAAAACTAAGAGCAGATCGCTTAAGGACCAGCCAGCTATGCGGCTCCCCAAAGCCGCAACCTCCAGTTCTTTGGGGCCCAGGCCCTGACCTGGCCACGCCTTGGCATCCCTGGTGCTGGATTCACAGACCCCAGAGGTGACGACCAGGGCCTGGGCTGGCCTGGGTTCATTGGCAGCCTGGCTGTGGGCTGGGAGCACGCAGGGCCCACCTGTCACCCCAGGCCCCTCTATGGGCGTGGCTTGCGCCCTTCCCACCTGGGAAAGAGACCCCGGCGCGCTTTGGTGAGAGATGGGGCCACACGGCCGCATGGCTTCCTGGTTTCATCAGCAGGCCTGCTCTCCAGGCCTACTTTGTTTTTTTTATTTTTCCCTTTTTAAAACCATAAATAAACCCAGGAAAGGCACTGGAATATGGTAATGCCCCGTGAAGTCACGCTCTAAATACTGCGCGGCTCTGTCATGTGTAATCATTCCCTTTGTGGCTGCTACATCAGGAACCTCGCAGCATCAGGGCCGCGGGCTGCGTCCCGTCTGGGAGAGACAGACACATCGCGCGTGTGCGCACCTCCCGGTGGGTGGGCAGCGTGTGGTGACCACTGCCGCTGCCCTGAAGGGCTTGGTGCCGGAGCAAGCGGGTGCCCTCACGTGACTCTGAAATCAGTCATGTGGGTTGCAAGGGGAGCGCTGTCGCTGCTGTGGCTCCTGAGGCCTCCTGCGGCTGCCTGAGTCCCCAGACACGGATGCGGAGCTTCTCTGCCCTGCTCGCAGCTCCGGGTCACCTTCTGTGTTGAGGCCGCTCAGTTGTGTCTCAGGCTGTCCGGTGAGCATCAGCTCTGGCTGTACCAAGTGGCTCCCTCTGCTCTCATGGGCCTTTGAGACCGTCCCTACAGGCCCTCCTAACTGTGTAAAGCACCCGAGGACCTCAGTGAGCTTTAACCTGCTCCGTGTACACTGAGGGTGCAGTCACTGGCACTGAACCACAGGCTTACGTCTCCACTGTCATTCTCCACCCTGGGGAGGTAGGCGGCCCTTTTCTGGGCATGGGTAGCAGCGAGTACATGTCCAGCCAAACAGAAACTTAGACGCCATGTGTGCCGACTAGATGTTTTTAGCAAATATCAGGCAAATATTTATAAATAAAATCCTGGGTCCTGAACGCACTGTTCTGTTTGGGTTTTATGGTGTTGCTGACTGCAGTAAAGTAAGACTCAGCACATGAGAGTGATAAAAAGTTCTCTTGATGCCTCTGGAAAAGGACTGGGGGTGTGTTTGCTTTTGTTAGCATTTTTATGTGTGCGCGCGTGTGCACGTGTACATGGACTGAAAGAGGTTACTGACATGGGTCGGAATCCGTGCTTTCGCCCTGGTCTGCGCCTTGGCACCGCTTGCCTCCTTTTCTGGCCTTCGAGGAGGGCGGCCAGGTGTCGTGCGGCGGCGTTCGCAGCCGCCCTGGCAGGCTGTCTCCTGCCTTATTCTTCAAAATGTGCATTTTGCACATGACTTGACCGTTGCCTGAATGTCCCTTTTTAAAAAGTGGGTCTGGTTCCTACAGTTCGGTCACCTGCGGCGGTGTCTCTCTGCAGTGCGCTGGAGACACCATGCCCAGCCTGAGAGGGTGCCGCCGAGCCCACACAGAGCCCGGTCCACGTGGGCAGCCTCGCCAGTGGGCACGACCTCCCCTCGGTGCCAGGACACGGGAGAGGCCTGGAGGGTGCCTTGGACCAAGGCTTCCTTCCTCGGTGGGGTCATTCCAGGGCTGGGGACCTTACTTTCATTTTCTATTTTTTTCCTCACATAAGCCACAGTCCACCTTTCCATGACTCGTGTGTGCTTAATGGCATCTGGGGCTTCTCAGAATCAGTCCATGTCCTTTCAACAAGTCCCCTTTGGCTACTGGACGGCAGCGGCCAACAGCCCTCTTCCCGTCCGGCTGTCCTCACCCGCTGACTCAGGGGCGGTCATCTTCTCCAGGTTGTGAACCTTAGACACCCGAGCCCGTTCTTAGCACACGTGACGCCCGGAGCTTCTGGAGGGGCCCTCCGCTGTCTTGGAAGAGCCCCAGGCCCTGCTGGCGTGGAGCCACCATGTGGTAGTGACTCCGGTTCATGTGGGTTGGCATTCAGAGTTGTGGGCATGACGAGTTTGCTGTCTGCATGCCACCTTCCCAGGCGTCTCTAGCAAGGCGACACCAGCGGGACCCAGGCCATCTCCCACACCCCGCCTCGGCAGGCAGCCCAGAGCTGACTCCTCTCGTCTCCTTGTAGGCTACCTGAACGTGCTGTCCAACAACCGCTGGCGGGAGCGCTGGTGCAGGGTGAAAGACAACAAGCTCATCTTCCACAAGGACAGGGCCGACCTGAAGACGCACATCGTCTCCATCCCACTGCGCGGCTGCGAGGTCATCCCGGGCCTGGACTCCAAGCACCCCCTGACCTTCCGGCTGCTCCGCAACGGACAGGAGGTGGCCGTGCTTGAGGTACGGGGTTTCCGGCCGCCACCCTCCAGGGGAGCCCCAAGGTGGCTTCCTTCCCCCAGCCACATTCTGCCTCCGTCCCCTCGTCCCTTCCACCTGGCTGCTGGCACCGGTTTGGAGTGTCCCGTTCCATGCCGTGGCCCTGCTGTGGCCATCTGCTTTTCCTCCTCTCTCTCCTGTCTTTCTGGGCAGTGCCACCAGTGCCAGCCGTGCCAGCTTTGGTCCCATCATACTCATCAAGTGTGCCAGGGTCCCTGTTCCACACTTTGCGTCCTGTTGTGTTTGTGGAGATGAAACCCACAGCTCCTGAGAGTGGATCCCGTTTGAGGCTCCCAGGGCAGGAGCTTGTGAAACCCCGGTGGGAACATTTCCCTCCACTCCGCTGCCTCCGAGCTATGGTAAATGAGTTCCGACCCGTCCTTCCGGACGTTCTCAACTTCTTTCCTGGTGGAACAGCATTTGGGGATGGCCAGGTGGCCCTGTAGGCGGCAAGCCAGGGCATCTTTGCATTATGGACCTTTGGCTTTGTCTTAGTTACTTTTTTCTTGTTGCTGAGACAAAATATCCAGCACCCAAAATTAAGGAAAGAAAGGTTTATTTAGCTCTCAGTTTGTGGAGGTTTCAGTCCATGATCAGCTGGCTCCAAGGCGGGGTGGTGGGGCACAGGGGTAACAGTTCAAGGTGCAGAAGACAGAAAAAACAGCAAGAGCAAGAGAGCGGTAGCAAGTATCTTTTCCCTCCTTACATTGTGTATCGGCTGTCTGCCCACGCCCACACCAGCTCGGTGCCCTGCTCTTGCACAGGCTCAGGGTGAATACAAAGTAAGGGCCCTGGCCCCCTGCGCAGTCACTTAAACTTCTAAAGCTGACAAAGTGGGGAACATCCCGGAGCGCTAAGGGCAGGTCCTTCTCACCCAGGATGTAGAACCGCTGAGTCACTTAGTTTAGCTTCCGGACTCCTGAAGTTGACACAGTGTATCAACCATGACAATCCACCCCTTGTCCACTTGGCAACCAGACACATTTTTAAAACCAGTTTCCAGATAGAAAGACATTATTTTTGTCCTTTTACAACTTGAACATTATAACGCATTATACTGAAGAAGCAGTATTAAGTCTGTCAACATTATATTGCATGCTGAGTTACTTACTTAAGCCTTTGGACACCGCAAGTTGACACAATGTATCAACCATAACAGGCTTCCACACACTTTATTTATTTGTCCACTTTGCTATTCTCCGCAGCAGAAAGTGGCAATTGAAACTAACAGGGAGGACTCCAAACTTCATTTTTGAAAATTTTCCTTTTTCATCTTGTTGTATTGGCCTGCTTTCTCCCCAGTATTAATTCAGCTGTGTCTCTCCTTTGTCTCCCCCTCCTAGCATCGCTATGGCCGTTACCAAGACACAGAGCGACACACACACCTGTACCCACAGTCACAGCCGACAGGGCGCCTGTGTGTTTCCACTGTGGTCGCAGAAGTGAGGCTGTGTGCAATTCAGGGCAGTGGGCCGGTGCACGGTCTCAGCTGGTCTAACAGAGCCAGGCCCCAAATGCTAGCAGGGGTACGGGGTGGAGCCAGCATCGGGGTGCCCACACAGGCAGTATCTTGAGTTTCAGAGGCAGGAGTTTGTTTCAGGGGCCGTTTTCACACAGGCTACCTTTTATTTGGGGGCAGGACTGGGGCCCCGAGCAGGTGAAAAGCAGAACAGTATCTCCTTCCTCCCAAGGCTTCACAGCCCAGACCCCTTGGGAGCGGGCCCAGAGGACCAACTGCGCCCCCTGGTGGTGGCCCTGCAGCCACCCGGTGCTGGAGAAAGATCCACTTGGGACGCCTTAGGAGAGCTGCGTCGCAGGCCCTGATCACAGCAGTCTTTCGGCTTCGTTTTCTTTCAGTACAGCACCCACATTGGAATGTAGTCAGTGTTTTTGTAGACATTCACGTGGTGTGAAAACTGTCGGGTGGACGGCCGTGGGAAGCTGGAAGCCTAGCCCCGTGATGTAAGGCTGTGGTCTCCCTGGGAGCTTTGGCAGGGGATCCAAGCACGGGACAGGTTGGGCCACACAGGTGCGAGGCCGGCTGCTGTGCAGGCAGAGCGGCCTGGGCAGGCAAGGTGGCGCGGGCCAAGTGTTCAGCCGAGTTCAGTGTAATTGGGCGCACACCAAGCCCGTTCTTCCAGTCTGTGGGGATGCCCCCCTCGGGCCTGGTAGGGATGACTTAAACGGGGGAAATATGGGCCCCGGCCGGTGCTGCCAGCGTTCGAAAGGGAACTTCTTAATTTGTGGCTCTCCCTGGCATAGACTGGAATCATTAACACATTTCGTATGCCTTTAAGTTCTACCTGTAAAATTACTCTACTTAAAAGATTTACAATTTTTATAAAAATAAATTTACTTTTCCTTCAACATTGAGTCTGTTCATACATTTGATAGCTCAGTTTCCCCTAAATGGTAAACACTGTTGACATTTAGACTAGTCTCATTTCTTTAGATACCATTATAAAATGTATAATGACTCTTACATATCATTATAAAATGTATCACAACTGGTTTTCCAAATCACGTCGCAGGATGGCTTAAAACTTGATGAGTATAACCTCAGAGATCTATTTTAGACGTGCAGTTAAGCAGATCTAATTGTGGGGCCAGCGGGATTGTGGGACTGGCCTGTGCGGGGCAGCCTGGCGGCCCCCCACACCATGGAACCCCTGTGGGCACCCGAGGTGGAGGAGCACACAGCCGACCCGGTAGCGAGTGCAGTTTTCACGGTCCCTGCCATCAGAGTGGCCTGCAGCCAGAGCGTAGCTGAGCCCACTGGGTCGGGCAGCAGCGGCCGGGGCTCCTTCCTGTGCCACTCTGCCACCGAGTGACCCAGGCTGCCAGCGCAGCTGCCTTTGCCGGAGTGGAGCTGGCAGCAGTGAGCCCACGTCACACGCCCAGCGTCTCCGCCTGGGCTTATCGGCCTGGGTCTGCCCTTGGCACCCTTGCTCCCGGACCCGCTGTGACCCGCCACTCGGGCCAACAGCGTCCTCTGTGTCACACCTCTATCTTTCATCGCCTCTCCCGTCTCGGTCTCCTCCTGGGCAGCCTTTGAAAGCAGAACTCATGAGAACGTCTGCCTCTCCCCGCAGGCCTCCTCCTCGGAAGACATGGGCAGGTGGATCGGGATCCTTCTGGCGGAGACAGGGTCCTCCACAGACCCCGGGGCCCTGCACTACGACTACATAGACGTGGAGATGTCTGCCAACGTCATCCAGACCGCCAAGCAGACCTTCTGGTAAGCCTGCGCGGCCTCGGTCACTCCCTGGAGCGCGTCACCCTGACTTTGGTGTAAGTGTGTGGATGAGATAAACCAACCCGAAAGACTTTCCCTTTGTATTATTTTAATCCTCCTTTTCTCCAGATACTTTTTATCATTTCATCTCTGGGTTTCAGTTAGAGCAGAGATTGGCAAGCTTGTATAAAGGGCGTGTTTGTTCCGCGGCCCCGCTCCTGCCGCCGCCAGAACCACGGGCGGCCCAGCTGACACAGCACCGGCCCCAGGCCCGGGCAGGCGAGAGACAGGCCGAGCACTCCGGAGACAGTGCCTCGCTGATTGAGCGTGTCTTATTTTGATGTATATTTTCATGAAAATATACAATATATTTTATAAATACGTTTATCTTTATGAAAATACAGATTTCATAAAGATACGTTATTTCTTTTGAAATAGAACAAGTTCACAAGTATCATGTTTAAAATGGGTAGGTTTCCAGGGTTCCTTCCATGTGATAGCAGTGGGCAGGAAACCTTGGCTGGGTGCCGGTGGCAGAGTTGTGCGCAAAGGACAGGACGTGTCTGAGAAATACCTCACGGGACAGGTCACTCATACCTCTGGTCAGTTAAGAACTGGATTGATCTTGTTAGCTGACCTCCTAAGTCCAGCCAGCAAACCTAAGAGAAACCCTGAACAGAAATATTTCCCCCAGAACACAATTTGGCTTTCACTTCACAAGTTAGTAGACTATTAACCTAAGCCAGATGTGAGGAGGTCACATTTTTTTTTGAGAAAGAAATGCAGATTGTAGTATCGGAAAACTTATTCAGTAAAAGATGCCTGTGCTAAGTTCACCGCTGCAAGAAATGCATCTGCTTCATTAAAATCTGTAAGAGATGTCAGCCAGCAATAAAGCTCTTTTTCACTGTTTAGTTTTCTAGGCGGATATTCCTGTGAAACATAACAGGAGAGATTCAACAAAGAAACACATTCAAAATACGTGCCTTGCCAGGGTGATAAATATTCTAAGGTTAAATGGAGTTTTTTCCTTTTTTGTAGCTTGGCAGCCAGTTAAGGAATCTTTCCAGGTTGTTAAGAGGATTATCCAGGGCTCCTGGGTATTCTCTGAGGAAGGACAACAGCACATTTTGGAAAGGAATGGTGTAGATTCTCCCCGGAAATTTAGTGACTTTTGGGCTGTTAACGATGGCAGACAGTGGAAGCTCGCTTACCTGAGAGCTTATTTTTAAATGAAACACGGGGAGTGTGTAATAGAGGAAAACACCGTGACTTCCCCGGACCCTCGCCCGTGGTGTCTGTGGCAGACCCACAGGAGCCCAGCGGCGCCCTCCGGCAGTGAGAGAGGGTGGCAGTGCCCTCCGCTCACCCTTGCCTGGCTGTGGGTTCTCGTGCTTTCAGTCGAGGCTCACCTCCACCCTTGCATCACCTGCAGATGCGCTGTGGGTGCATCTCGGCACCACGTACCTCCTGGGCTGGGAGAGTGGTTCTGCTCCCTTGCTCCCCGTCCCTGTTGGGACTCACTGGCCGCCGGGGAAGGTGGCCAAGGCATTCTGCCTGTGTGTGTCCTGTTCATCCTCACCCCGTGGCCTTGCCGGGAGACACTGTAGGTCCCACAGCGTCTGTCCCTACCCACCTCCCTCCAACCTTCCGGCCTCAGCTGCCTTCGTGAGGTCGGGGACAGTGGCAGGGGCAAGGAGGGGAAGACGTGCACGTGCACATGCACACGCGTGTATCTGAGTTTGCAGCGCACATGGCTGGGCCCCAGGTCCCACGTGACCGGCTTTGCGGCTCACAGCAGCGTGCACACAGCCCTGTCCCAGCCTGGCCTCGGGACGCATCTCGGTCAGAAAGCTGGAAGGCGCATGCACACTGGAAGTCCCGACCTCCTGTCCCTGCAGAGCTCGTTGCTGTCTTTCCCCTGGCGCTTTTCCCCGCTGCACGTCTTCTCTTCCTGCATTTGCTGGTGTTTTCAGTGTAGAAGGTGTGGTTCACTTCCCGCAGGCAGAGGAGGACGAGGAAGCCACAGGTGTTAGAAGTGGGCAGAGCCGTCGGTGCTGCTGTCGGCCAGCAGGGGGCGGTGGTGCTCCAGGAGCCCAGGGTGGCTGCTGCTGCACTCAGCCCTGGGAGGGCAGCAGGGCGAGGCGAACTTCGCTCACCTCTTATTTCCCTTTCTGCTTTTCACTTCTTCTATTCTGGTGGCCTTAGAAAGGCGAGAGCTGGTGAAGAGACGAAACGGGGGAGCAGGAGAGCGTCTTTTAAAAACTCCCTGTGTCCAAAGGCCGCTGAGGTTATTTCTTCCTGGTGGTCTACATTTCTCCTAGCACAGCATTGCCACCTGCAGAGCCAGGCGTGGTCCTCGTGCCCAGCCGCCGGGGCGGACATCGTCCCAGGCCCTGATGGGACGCCCCGCGGGACAACGCTGAGTTCCCAAAGTAGGGCTCTAATGGGGTGAGACAGACAGACAGACGGACACACACACACACACACACACACACCCTGAGCTGTGGGGGGAAGGTGGGACAGGACAGGCAGCGACACGGGGATGGCCCTCGAGACCCAGGACCAGGGCGGTGAGGGAAGAGGAGTGGAGGAGGAGGCCTGTGTCTGTCTCTGTCTGTCTGTCTGTCTCTGCAGCACTTCGGCTGTTTCTTGGATGAAGCTGGAAGCTGCTGGGTTATGCTGGCTGCCGGCAGGCACAGCCCAGCCCTGTGGAGGGACACATGCCTGTCCCTTCTCTGAGCACATGGCCCCCCTACCCTCTCCTGTGCACCAGGTGTGGGCCCTGCCTTCCCCGGCAGAGGCCTGGTCCTCCTGCATGCCAGCTGGGCAACCTCCAGTCTAACTCAGGGCTGGCAGCAGAGCCAGCGTCAGGCCCGCAGGCAGAGGGCTTGGTGCCATGCGCTGCTCCGGCTCGGGGTCACTCTGGAGTCCAGGCTGTGCCTTGTGCCGTTTCAGCACAGCCACCTCCTAGATTGGGATGGGGCGACAGGATGAGCGGGGGCGTCTCGGGGCACCCGCCCTGGCTGTGCCCCTCCCAGCGGCTCTGTGGTCCCGGCTGGGGCTCTCGTGGCGTGGTGGCTGTGGCACCCGCCCTGCCCTGTGTCACCGAGACTTGCGGGCACCTGTGACGGGGGGTGCGTGACAGAGGTGGTCTCTCTTTGCTGACCCGTGCCGTGTGCGGGAATCGCTGTGGCTCCCAGCGTGCAGTGTCCCATCCCTGCTGCCCTGGAGGGGGGGCCTGCCCTGAGCGGCCACCACTGCCCTGGCCCGGGCCCTGCGTCCTCCCTGCACGGCAGCCCAAGCACATCGGCTCCCAAGGATGCACCGATGGCCGGGGGAGCCGTCCGCCGGTCTTGACTCCTCCTCCTCTCACCCCAGCTTCATGAACAGGCGTGGGGTGTCCACCAGCCCCTACCTGGGGAGCACCAACGGCTACGCGAACCCCAGCGGCACAGCGCTGCACTATGACGACGTGCCCTGCATCAACGGCTCGGTGAGTGGCTGCGCAGCTCCCGCTTCTGTCCGGATGAGGGCTCTTGGGGTCCCTGCACCTCGGGGCTCCTGCCACTGAAGACACAGGGACCTGGGGGCCCCAGAAGCTGGTCACCACCCGGCAGTGTCATCAGTTAAACACCTCTGCACGCGGTAAGACAAGGCAGGAGGACGGTGCGTTCCTCCCCGTGGCTGGGGCGGACCAGTCCGCGCGGGGTAAGTTGTCCACAGCAGTTGCTTCTCAGCAGGAGGAGGGCGCTGGGCGGTCACTGCCAGGTGTCACAGAGCAGTAACCGCAGTGCCACTCAGGGTGGCCCCGTCCCTCATGACCCTGTACCCGAGCACTGCTGCCCGAGGAGGCGTGAGCCGCTTCCTGGAGCCCTGGGTGTTACTCCGGTCTGTGACACCCACTCGGCTGCAGCAGCCTGACTTGCTCCAGCCGCCCGGCTCCCCCTGTGGTGCATGGACTCGGCTGAGGTCCTGGGCCCGGCGCCTCAGCGTTTGTCTGGCTGCTGCCCTCAGAGCGTGCTCCCCCGCCACGCCCTGCCCCAGGCCCTTCCAGGCCAACTTCCTTCTGCCGCGGCTCCGTCCTTCTGCAGAGTGAGGGGTCTTCAGGTTGTGCGCCTGACCACAGCAGCATTTTTTCTTTTCTTTTCCTATCTTTTTTTGGCAGTACTGGGGGTTGAGGCAGCACTTGTACATTGAGCTACAGCCCCGAGCCTTTGTATTTTTTGAGACAGAGTCTCATTAAATTGCTGAATTACCTGGGTTGGGCTGGAACTTGCAGTCCTCCTGCCTCAGCCTCTCAGAGTGCTGGGCTTCTAAAGCTTTTAAGACCAAGTGTGGAGGGCCTGCTGGTGGCCACCTTGCTTACTGCGTCTTCTCCTAGGTACTCTCAACCCTGCTCTCCCACTTGCTGGGCTGGTGACCGGGAGGCTTCCTCTTCGGAGGGCTCCAGGGCTAGTTTTGTGACATTTACACACTCGGACCAGGTCCTGGTCGTTAGCGGCATCTCAGCTTCGTTGATTCTTACCCACTCTGCTTCCCAGATGTATACACCAAGATGAAACTGCACTTCTAATCAAGAAACTTCTTTTTTTGTTTTTGATTTTTGTTTTTTGAGACAGGGTCTCACTATGTAGTTTAAACTGGCCTTCAGCTCACTATGTCGCCCAGGCTGGCCTGGGGCACAAGTGGTTCTCCTGCCTCAGCCGCCCCTATGCTGGGATTACAGGTGTGCGCCGCCCCTCCTGACACTTCTGTGGGTACCCATCACTGCTTCCTAAGTCTCCCAATCCTTGGTATTTTAGGAAACGCTTTTAATAACTGGACACATGTGCCCCGGCTGTCAGAGCGAAGCACTCACTTCGAGTTCACCTGCGTCGTTTTCGGGTGGTGGCACCGTCCCCAGCCCCACTGAAGGAGGCGGGACGTGACTGCAGTTGAATCTTTCCTATTTTTATAACAAAAGCCTGTAATTACTGTCTAGCTCAAGGAAACTCTTGCCAGAAGAGTACGAAAATAGGATATAGGAGCAGGATGTATGAATTCATGTTTCCTTTTTTAATGCAAGGCAATTCATAGAGACCTTCAGACTTCAAAGGGCCTGGCCATGGTGGTGGTGTGGGGTCTGACTTCTGCTGGGAAGTGAGCACGTACTTGAGGGGCTGCCCTCTCGGTCCTTGCTCAGCAGCTCCAGTGTCGCCCCTCGGTTCCCGGGCATCCGCGCTCTGAGCCGAGGTTGTCTGCTTTCTCACAGACCGTGTATTGCTCGGTTGTGGCACTAGATTCAGGTGTCGCCGTGTGAGGCACGCAGACGTGCAGCTGTGACCACGGCCTGGCACACTGGCTGGCACGGGTGGGCTGGAGCAGCCTGGAGGGCTCAGTTCTAGCCCTCGGCCCCCCAGGACAGCCCGGCTCAGCAGTGACAGGGTGTGTCTAGCTCTGTCTCCCACGCACTGGTGACTTCTGCCTCGGTTTCCCCTGCTCCCTGAGAGGTCTCAGATTCAGCATGCCGGTGTGCAAAGGTCCTCAGGCCTTTCCCGCGGAGCAGCGGGCGCTGTGGGGTGAGCAGAACCTTTCCCGTCTCACGCCTCCCCTGGGCAGAGTCCCGGCCTCCATCCCGGGGCCTTGTCCTGGCTCCAGTGCCCTCCACACCCTGCATCCTGGGACTTCCCAGCTCTGGTTCACTAGAGAAGGACTCGACAGATCGGTATTTTCTGCTTTGAAGAAGAGAACGAAACCAGAATGTCATAATGCGATAGCTCTGGGAACAATCAAAGGAAAAGCAGTTTCCACAGACCCCAAAAGCAAAGGGGACCTTGTGAGCGGTCTCCCCGCTTGCATGTGGGGAGTGTGTGGTGTTCGCCTTCGGTGACCGCCCCGGGCCCCCGTGTGTGAGTGCTGGGCGCTGCTGACCCCTGGCTTGCTAACCTGCTCTCTCCCTGTCCGCACGAACACAGGGCTGTGTGTGGCAGTGGGACGCGGAGGACGGCGGCCGTCCCGCCTGCTGCGGCCAGGGCCCGGGAGAAGAGGTGCTGTACGATAACGCGGGCCTCTACGATAACTTGCCGTCTCCGAAAATCTTTGCTCGCTCCTCTCCTGCTGACAGGAAGGCTTCCCGGCTATCTGCAGACAAGCTGTCCTCTAACCACTACAAGTCCCCCGCCTCGGGCCTGCCCTGCACCCCGTCTGTCACTAACACCTCTTCTGTGGGGAGGGCGTCTCTCGGGCCCCACTCCCAGGTACAGCATTGCTTCCCGGGTGCCGGAGCCGCCCGGGATCCCTGCCCGCCGGGGCTCTGCAGCCATGGGGTGCTCATGGGGTGCAGAAACACATACCCAGGCAAAGCGTAACTTTTTCCTGGACCAGAAAGTCCCGAGGGACAGGGGGCACATTCCTGGCTGGGGCGCAGCTGATAGAAGCTCTGGGGCTGTCTTTCTACTTTAGAAAATTCCTATGCTAGCGGGACGAGGAGGGGCTGGCATCGCCGGGTGACAGACAGCCTGAGCGGAGCTGTGTCCCTCCCACCCTCTCCCCAGCTACCTGACAAATGCTGAGTCTTCCTGAATTTCTAACCTGAGAATTTCTTACACTTTGCCTGGAGATCTTTGCCTAGAAATCCTCTGCCAGAGTAAAGCAGCAGCATGCCCTGCATTTCCCCTCTTCTGCGGTAATCTTGGGGCACAGCGAGCACCGGGTGAGGCCCTGGATCCCAGGCAGGGTGGGGCGTTAGAGCAGCACCTCCCGAGGGGCCCCGCGGCTGTGTGGCGGGGCGTGGGCACTGCTGGCCTCCGATGCTGCGAGGAGCCCCCCTGCCCGGCCTGGTCATGCGTTTCACGTTCTCACCGAGCCCGGTCTGTGCACACGCTCATCGTTCTCTTTGTTGGTGGTAGGGCAGCCCCAGGTGAAAGCACGGCCCCTCGGGTGGCCCTGGGTTAGCGGGCAGTCACCGGACACATGGCTGCTGCGTGGTTTTTCTGTCGCTGCTGTTCCCCTGTTTTCTCATTTCCAAGTTGGAGGGTGCTTCCCTCTCCTCTCAGGGCCACTTTACAGGGCCTGCTGAGTGACCGGGACCATGCCCTTGCCCGACTCCTGCCGTCCGCTGTGGGTGCCCATCCCCCTCAGGAGCCCCGTGGGGCCAGTCAGTGTTTCCTTGGGCACGGGCGAGCAGGCAGAGGCCCAGACAGTTTTCCCAGCTTGCTCTGGGGCTCCTAAAGGACAGGATGAGAGCAGGGTGTCACACTGTCCCCCTCGAATCCCAGGCCCAGCTGGAGAGCAGGGCAGTGTCAGACAGCACCTGGGGGCCAGGGTTACGGGTGCGTTGAGCCCGCGCAGCCTGTGAGGCTCCTGGGGGAGTCACTGGCCCAGCACCAGCTCCGAGGGCTTCCAGCAGTGGAGGCAGCAGGGGCACTGTTGGCCATCCGGGGCCACCGAGGCACCAGGGCCTGGAAACCCCATCAGTTTCCTGCTTCATTCTGCGTCCCGGCTGTGCAAGGTTCTACTTACGACGGACTGAAAGAAATCGTTGCAGCTGGGAAAGTGTCTTTGCCTGTTTTGTTTTTAATTTTCTACATCTATTCCAACAGCTCAAGGGTAAGAAGCCCCCAATGGCATCTAATGGGGTCCCTGGAAAAGGGAAGACTGCAAGCGGTCAGCAGAAAAAAGCAGATTCCACAGCCGGTGTGAAGCGGACGGCTTCGAGTGAGTCCCGCCCCGCGCCCCTCCTGCTCCCAAGTCCCGGGTGCAGAGTCGAGGCCGCCTGAGCCGCTCAGGGAGCAAGTACAGGGGTGGAATCCGTGGGGGTGTCGTCCCCTCTCTGCTGAAGAACCCACGTCTGCCACGGTGCCGGGAACGCAACCAGCGCTGGCCCGGGAGGCTCCCGTTGACGTGCAGTTGCGGAGGAGTCCTCTGCGAGGGCAACTGTGGGTCCCTGGACTTTGGTCCTGAGACTCACTGTGTCCCCAGCGCACTGTGGAGAAGTCACACACACCCCCGTGCACCTCTTCCTCCCTGGTGTGCAGACAGCCTGCTACGCTCTGCACTGGCTGCGGTTAAGAGCGTAATCGGGCTAGGGATTTAGCTCAGCGGCACAGCGCTTGCCTGGCAAGCACAAGGTCGTGAGTTCGATTCCCGGTACTGGGAAAAAAAAAAAGTTGTAGTCAGGGCTGGGAGAGGCTCAGGGACGTCCAGGATGTTAGTTCTGCTGTGTGCGGTCCGCCATGGCCCACAGCCAGCCACTGTGACCCGCCCCTGGCCTAGCTGTTGCCGCTCACCTCTCTGAACAGTGAGAAGCAGTTGCCCAGTGGTGGAGGCCTTCCCAGGCGTCACACAGGGTGCATCATGGAGACAGGCCCGCGGAAGCAGATGGGGCAGGGAGGCTGGGAGACGGAGTTGGGCCCCACTTTTACTTCCAGGTGGCGGGTGCTGTCCCGGCTGATGGTGTCTGCTTCTGGCCTCCTGTCATTGGGTGTCTGGGTGGTGGCCGTGCTAGGGGAGCAGCACCAGGCTTCCACCTCAGCCATGGCTTCCTGCGACTCTTGCCGCTGTTGCCTGGGATTCGGACCTCAACATGTCCAGGGAGCAGTGACCCTGGTCACCCGGTCCCTGTAGTAATGAGGACAAGGCAGTCACTTTTATAGCAGCTGCTTTAGGCGGAGGAGGGCTCGGGCCACACACCCGCGGCTGCCCTGCGAGGCACTGTGGTGCAGTTTTAGAGGCAGCAGGCGGAGGAGGGCCACGGGCACACGAAGCCGGAACTGCTCTGCAGCCGTGGGCTGCCGCTGTCTCACAGAACCCTGTGCTCCCCAGGAGCCTGTCCGCACGTCTGTGGCCCTGGGACTGCGCTGCAGTAGGCGGGGCGGGCCCAGCTCCCCATCCTCGCTGGCGTGGTGGGTGGACTTGGTGCTGTCTCTCCAGCGCATCTCGTCTCCCTGACAGACACGGGCGCGTCTGTGAGCGCAGGCCGCGGGGCTGTGCACTGGGAGAGGCGCCAGGGCAGAAGGGACGCGTCAGCCCCAGCAGCTTTGTTCAGCAAGCTCTGAGTCATGTGACGTCTCTTTCAACTCAAGCTCTTCCTAGTACTGACGCGTAGTTTAGTTCCTAGGCGTCTGTAGATCTGTTCAGGGACATGGTGGTGCAGACACAAGCGAGTAGAGCTTGAGCTTGGTCTGCTTGTAGAATGTACCATCGCCTAGGCCCCGGCGGGGGGCGGCAGGTGGGATCAGCATGACTGAATGGTGTCCTCAGGCTGCCGGTCCCTCTCATGCTGACCTGACATTCCTGGAGAGTCCTAACGGTCCCTGTGCTCCCTTGAAGCCGTGGCGGCCTGCATTTCAAGGACTGTAAGCCCAGCCCCCAGGCAGGCACTGGGTGTGGCCCGCTGTCTTGGGGACAGGCCTCTGGGGCTGTCCTTTTGGAGCCTTTGCTGCGGGGACTCACAAGGCAGCCCCGGCCTCTCTGCTGTGCAGACCGGAAGCTGAGATGGGCAGGCAGAAGCTGAGGTGGGGGACAGAGGCTCCACAGAATCTGGGGTGGGAAGGGGCCGTGTCGGGTGACCAGCCGTCGGGGCACCCTCGGCTTCTGTTGGGTGGATTCTGGTCTAGGGAGCGGCAGGCCCTGCAGGTGGAGTCACAGGTTTGGTGACTACTGCAAGAAGCGACTGAAGCGACTGCAGCTTCAAAACTGAGCCCCTCGGTCTTGTTGTTGGGAGCTGCATCTCCTCGGTGCATTTTTCCAAAGAGGCCTTGGGCTGCCCTAAACCACCCTTACAAAAGGCCAGTGCAGGAAGAGGCAGCGCACGGGCTCAGCGCCCTGCGGGCCGGGGTGGCATCACCGGCTCTGGCTTGTGCCCGACACTCCTTTCCCCTTTGCTCTTTCCTCGTTGGGTTTAATAAGCGTTGATGGAGAGCTCCATGGAGGGCTGTGTACTGACCAGTCCACCCTTGTGACAGCCCTGTGAGCTCCCTGCCATCACGCTCCCATTTTACAGATGACGACCCCAAGGCACAGAGACACCAGGTGTTTCAGGGTCACACAGCTCCCAGCGCCATGCTGAGCCCCCGGTGCACCACAAGCTGCCTCTCCACCTATGCATGGCTGCCACGGAGACAGAGCAGGACGGGCTGGGAAGGGGCAGAGCGGACAGTGTTGGGGCAGGGGCTGGGACACAGAACTAGAGTCCAGCAGTGACCCTGACAGCCACAGACTCCTGGACCTCAGGATTACGGTGCTCAGCCGCAGCTTGCTGCAGATAGGTGATGCATTCCTTAGGGGGCGGGGATTAAAGGATCCCCAGGACCCCATTTCACGGTACACCTTCGCTTCTGGGAGCCTGGGGCATTGGAACGGTCACTATTTCCTTGGTCCGGCCCAGTCTTGCTTGGCAGGGCAGCTGGCGCCGCGGGCTCTAGCACTGCCTACCGCCCGCACCTGACAGCTTGTGCTGCTCCCTTAGATGCCGACCAGTACAAATACGGCAAGAACCGGGTGGAGGCGGACGCAAAGCGGCTGCAGACCAAGGAGGACGAGCTGCTGCAGAGGAAGGAGACCCTGCGGAACAGGCTGGCGCAGCTGCGGAAGGAGAGGCGAGACCTGCGGGCTGCCATCGAAGTGAACGCGGGTAGGAAGGGCTGCGTGCGGGGCCTAGCGCCTCTCCGTGTCTCCCTGCCCTGTCCACGAGATCGGCAGCCCACGCTATCCTGTGGCAGGAGTGTGGTGTTCTGGGTGGTGCCTTCGGGTTGGGGGTGCTGTAGATGGGCCCTGGTCGGGCACCAGCATGGTTGTGCCCAGCATCCCAGGCCCTAACCCCAGGCTGCCCACTGGTCACCTAGACTCCACTCAGGTCTAGATAACACAGGTGGCCAGGAGGGCGAGGCCTGCATCCCTGGGCCTCAGCAGGTCCAGGTCCCAGGAAGGCTTTCAAGCCAGCAGCACTTCCTTAAGTGAGAAGCCAAGACCCCTACCGGGAGGCCTGCAGTGTGAGCGTCAGGCTGGTGCCCGGGTCCCTCCCCAGCTCGGCAAAGCGGGGGCCTAGGCCAGGCCGTGGGGACCCCCAGGACCCAGGTGCTGCCTGAGGCTCAGGCACTGCTCTGCTCGCAGGCAGGAAGACCCAGGTGGTGCTGGAGGAGAAACTGAGAAAGCTGGAGGAGGAGTGCAAGCAGAGGGAGGCCGAGCGCGTGAGCCTGGAGCTGGAGCTGACCGAGGTCAAGGAGAGCCTGAAGAAAGCCCTGGCTGGTGGCGTCACCCTGGGGCTGGCCATCGAGCCCAAGTCGGGGACATCGAGCCCACAGGTAAGCGCCCTGGCAGCATGCGCAGGGCCTGCAAAGGAGCCGGGGCGCGGGGCGGAGCTGCGGCCGGCCTCAGCTGTGCTGCTGTGTTTCTGTGTCATAAGCCAGAGACTGGCGTGCGGCGCGGGACCCCCAAAGCCTGTGTCCCAGAGCCCTTGGCTTGGGTCCGCGACAGTGGGGACTGCGCAGAGACCGTGGGTCCCCCTCCTCCGAGGTCCTCTGTGGCTCCAGCCCCTCAGCTTCCTCCCTAGCATTGGTCTCTGTCTCACTCCGTGCTAAACACATTTTGCCTCGGCCTGCATCCCCTCCAGCTGCCGCTGGTGTCCTGCACGGCTCCCTGCCCCTCCCCAGTAGCCTCAGCAGCAGTAGTCCTTTCCCTCAGTGTCCCGGCCACCCACTCCCAGCCCACGTCAGGGTCTGCCCTCCCAGGCACCCTTGGGACCCTGACCTCGCAGGCACTTCCAGCTTTCCTCTGTCAAACTCCAGGAGTCTTTCTCATGGCTCCTCATGCAGTGATCCCAAGCTCCTGGGCCCCTGTCCCTCTAGAAGGGTGCCCCCCTGCGCCTGTCTCCTGCGTCAACCCCTCCTGCTCACCACACCCCTCTGGCCCCAGGCACTGGCTCAACATCCTGAAGCTCCGGCCTGGACTGCTGTGTTGGCTTTGCAGCCTCCTGTCCTCTGTGGCCCTCTCTGTGGACATGGTCACGGTCCTCTGCTGGACACTGGTGGCGGAGCATGTCCTCAGCAGAGCAGCCTGCTGGGTGGACCTTCTCCGGTGCCATCGTCTGTCCTTGTTGACAGTGTGGCACCTGCTCCCCCCGACTCACCTCCCCATCTGCCCTGGCCTTGGGAGCGTTTCCTAGGGAAGCTCAGTTGCAGCTGAGAGCTGTGCTTGGGAGCTCTGGTCAGGGAGCCCCGTGGGGAGCAAGAGCTCTGTTCCAGCGGAACATGGAGCGCTCTTCTCCTGAAAGGACGTCCTGAGCACCACACGGTGTGCTTATACCTCACTGTTGTGGCAGCACCTGCCGGGAGGGTTCGGTCTTTGGAGACTCCACTGGGGGCCCAAAGGCTGCCAGGACGAGTTCCCAGAGTCTGTGACCCCTCTGAAAGACACGGGTAGGGCTGTGGTGGCCCTCGAGAAGCCTTGCCCGGCATGTGCCCAGGGGGTTGCAGATGCCAGGTACCCTAGTGTCTGCTGTGTGCACTGCGGCCGGGTCCCTGGGCTGACCTAGGGTGCAGTAGTCAAATTCCTTGCAGCTGGGAGAGAATACCCAGCCCCCACAAAGGAGGAGAGATTTACTTTGACCCATCCTGAAGAGGGTTCAGTCCGTGGTTGACTGGCTCCAAGGCAGAAGCAGCACGGTAGAAGGGAGGGGATAGAGGAAAACTGCTCATACCAGGCATCCAGAAAGCAGAGAGAGGCGGCCCCGGGGACAAGAGTGCACCCTTCCAGGTCACACTCCAGCAACAGCGACCTCTAGCCAGGCCCCGCCTCCTACAACACAGTCAGTCATGAGCTCATGCGTGGATGAGTCCACCAACGAGTACAGCACCCCTTGCTCTTGTCACCTCCCGAAAGCTCCACCTCTAAACACAGGAGACCTTGGGGACAGTCTAGACCTAAACATAACACAGGCCAGGCCTGTCCAGGGTGGGGTCGCTGCGCAGGGAGGAAGACCAAGGTGACGCCTGCCCTGGGCCTCAATGCCCGACCTGTCAGGGCGTGATAAAGGTGTGCGGAGGATTAGGCACCAACCCTGTGGTAGCCCTTGCTGCTCCTTTTTTTTTCCTTCTGGTGCTGGGAATTGAACTCAGGACCTTGCACTTGCCAGGCAGGCGCTTCTGCCTCTGAGCTATCTCCCCAGCCCTGCTCGTTTGTTTCGGCCAGTTCCCACATCCGTTTGCTCTCTGAGATAAGCCCTTCTGCCGGCCAGGCCTGGAGCCGGAAGCCACTGCTCATGCAGAGCTGCCTCTGTCGCCCGCAGTCCCCCGTGTTCCGGCACCGGACTCTGGAGAACTCACCGGTCTCCAGCTGTGACACGAGTGACGCCGAGGGGCCCCTCCCTGTGAACAGCGCCGCCGTCCTGAGGAAGAGCCCTCCGGCCACGGGCAGCTCCCCTTGCAGGGGCCACGTGCTTCGGAAGGCCAAGGTGGGTCCCTGTCCTGGCCGTGTCCCCCGTGCAGCTGTGGAGGGAATTTTACTGGGTTCCCACTGCGTTAGACCATTTCTCAGGACCTGGGTTCCTGGGGCCGCAGAGACTGGGCCCCGGCAGTGCCAGCTTTGGGCTGGGGCCCCGGACTCCCCGGGCTGGTCTCTTGGCAGAGTGGATGTTAGGCCAGATGGCCCGTGGCCATTTGCACTGCTTAAATGCTATGATTCTTCGAAAAAAGAAAAGCTAAAGGATGCACTTTTCTCCGCACCCCTCCCCTGTGCCAGACCCCCATGTCTGACCCCTGGGACATTACTGGTTACCTGCCAGCTCCACCCTGGGGTGCCTGCCTGTTTTGGGTCACCGCCCACAGTCCTTGATGCCAAACCACGACATGTCAGGCCTGTTGGCCGCGCGAGCTCCAGCTTCTCTGAGCAGGCAGTGCTCGACCTTGCCGCCAGCTGCTGGCTGCAGGGCGACACAGCTTGGGAGGGCGGTAGCCTCCCTGAGAAGCCCGGAAGCCTGGTAGCAGCCATCTTGCCCCCTGGAGGGATCCGATGCAGTGTCACGGAGAGTGGGCTTGAGCAGATGTCCAGATTTCTGGAAGGAGGGGCAGGGACCTGGCCTGTGACCCTGAAACATCAGACCCGGCTCCTCTCGGGGTTCCTGGGCAAGTTCTAGCCTCATCTCTGTCTGGGTGGGAGAATACCGGAAGTGGGGTTGCCAGGGCCCCATGCTCGGTGTTGGAGGTGCCCTGTCCTGCCTTCCACAGAGGCCTGGTGCCCACCCTTTCTGGTCTCACAGACTTGGGCTGTGGTGCGGTGTGCCCGCCGGGGTCTGGCCCTTGGGATTTATACAGCTCTCCTTTCTCCAGGAATGGGAACTGAAGAATGGGACATAGGAAGTGAGGTGGCCCCAGCCCCAGGCAGAGACTGCACCCCACCCAGCTCCCCGTCTGCAACACGGTGCTCCCCAGAGCGGCCCACTCGGGACGTCCAAGGCCCTGCGACCGAGTTCTGCCACCTTCGCCCGCCCGCCCGCCTGTCCCTCCTACTGTAGAATGGTGCCCTTTTGAAAAGTTTACTTCTAAGACTTTGGCTTCGGAATTTTCTTGTTAAATAAAGCGGAAACAGACAGGATGAGCTGTTCCCATGGCCGACGCGTCTCTCCAGCCAGCTGAACGACTGCTTCGACCAGGTCCTGCCCACCCTGGCCAGCAGACACCAGACAGGCGGACAGACGCACCTCGACCCCTGGACGAGCCTGGCCGCTGCCACACCTCTTCGGGGTCCCAGCCTTGGCCATGTGGCATCAGGGTCACCCCGTGGCCAACTCAAGGTTTAGGGTTCTGTGGCCACAGTGGGGGCGTCGTGAGCACAGTGTGCCCGCCACTCCCAGTACCAGCGGTGAAGGCGGAAGAACCTCATTCTGTGAAGCAGTTTCCACCTTCCAATAGTAGGTGCTTTTGCCTCCGAACGTGAAAAGGTGCCGTTGTTTCTTAGAAAATGTCTCTTCTGCCACGCGTTTCACTTAGTGCTAGTGCCCAGAGCTCCCTGTCCCATTCTGTTGATTATCTGTACTGCTTGTGACAGCGTCGGGTGGTCTCTTTTGCCAAGTGGGGCTGGAGCGGGCCTGGAACAGCAGGCAGGATCAAGGCTTGCAGGCGGGGGACACGTGAAGACTGGGAGCCGGAGCCGGCCCTGTCCATACACTAAGGCATGGACGCATGGTGCGCCTGGCCTGGCCCTCGCTGCCCTCCGTGCAGTATTCCTGGAGCATCTGGATGAGAAGATCGAGACGAACAGCGCCGGTTGGCAACTTCCGCCAGGGTCTGCAGGAAACGGAGACCTGGGTCTCCAGAGGCGCTGTCAGGGAAGACACAGCCCCGCCACGGAAGGGACAGCACCAGACCCACTGTGTGCTGGCTTGGGCCTGCTCTCTAGCCATGCTGCGTGGAGCACGAGCCTCTCACCCCCAGCCCAAAGCGCTGTCCCGACAGCATGAAGCATCTCCTGCAGTGTCCACAGGCCTCGGGGTTGGGCTCCATTCCTCATACTCCTGGGGCTCCACAGGGCTGTTTGAGTTGCTTCCAGAGTAGGAAAGTCATCTGGGATATGAGAACGTTTCCCAGCAAGGACACCGGTTCCCTGCTGTCCTGGTCCCCTGGAACTTGAATGTATTAGAAGCCACCTTCCTGAGTGTCCAAGTTGCCAGGCCCTCAATCCGCAGCGGCTGCCCGGTCAGTCACACCAGCACCCACCACTCCTTCCGGGGCTGGTTTCCCACCGTCACAGGAAGCTGCGGCCACTTCATTCCATAGGAAACTACATTCTTGTAAAGGGAAGAAATTTATAGACCAGAAATTTTTGCTGTCTTTGGGTCTAATAAAATTCTCAAATCCAGGCTTGCTGGAGGATCTGACCGGCAGCCACTGGTCGGGGGTGCTACTGTTTCTGGTTGCTCCTGAGGAGAGGGAGGCGCCATCTTCAGGTCTGGGTAGATGCCCATGTCCTGGAGCAGGTGTGTGGCAGAGGTGGCCATGGGCAGTGCCGCCATCAGCCCCCTGTGCCCACAGAGCTTGGGGATTTGGGGAGTGGCCTTGCCCAGGGACACCACTGTCAGGACTGGGGGCCGGGCTGGGCCCTGGACCTTGTGTATGGTGAGTGCAGCTTTGTCATCCACTCGTGTTACCAGAAGTCTTTGAAGGAGGCCACAAAGTGGAGCGAACCCTGTGGGTTCCCGGGGCGTCTACGGTGAGGAACACGAGCTCCCAGCACAGGTCCTGGGCCCTGTGGGCCTGGTGTTCCCAGATTTGACCAGAAAGTCAGTTTAAAGCATCCATTTCAAAGTAAGTTATTTATTTGTATATGTCCCGTAAGTATAGCTTTAATTTATACCTGTACATATTAGACATACAGAGACATCTTGTCCGCTTCTGAGGGGTCTCAGTTAGTCACCCTCTCCAAGCGTGTCCCCACAGTGGCCCCGGCCCTGGGACAGCACAGGAACCCTGGCCCTTGGTACTAACGCTGGGGCCAGGCAGCAGAGGGCTGGCTGGCGCTTCCTGCCAGGCGCAAGGCAGGCTGCCCCGGGTCTGGTTCCTTTACAGTGTCACCTGTTACCTTCATAGGATGTGGTGCTCACAGAGTGTGGCCCCACGGCAGGAAGGCCACCTGTTGGGAGGGATGGCCAAGCATAAGCCAGGGAGGCCCCAGCTCTAGGCCTCGGCCCTTCCTGCCACTGTGAGGCCACTGTCCCTCCTTGGACTTCTACTCCTGGCCGTGGCTGGGTGCGATGTCACTGCCTGCAGAGCCCTCCGTTGTGTTCTGTGATGGTCGTAGTCCCTGCACAGAGACGGCCGTGCCAGTCACAGGGCTCACCAGCTGCGCCAAGTGCTGGCCTTGCTGCCACTCGCCTCAAGAGGTAGCACCCTGCAGCTGACTGGGTGCCTGCACAGCCATCCAGATCCTCCCAGAGCCCTTGCTGGGGCCCCTGGTACCAGCTCCCTGCTCACACCCCGGCTGCCTGGCCCTGGCCACCGCAGCCATCTCCCTGGCCCGAGCTGTTGCGCTGTTTCTGAATAGCCACGCCCACCTGGCAGGGTGGGGTTCGCCACTCTGAGGACTGCAAAGCCGCGTCCTGGGCCTGCCCCCGCAGAGGGGACAACGCTGCGCGTCCTCAGGGTCGCGCTGGCTCCCGAGGGCTGCTCTGTGCGTCCCTCCCCATCAGCAGCCCCAAGCGGCAGCAGCTTCCCCACCCAAGGACAGGGCCAGGGCTTCTCTGTGACACCCCACGTGAGCCCCCTGCCAGCAGACAGGGTGTCCCCAGGTTCCTAATGTGGCAACTCTAAAATGGCAAACAATTGCCTTCCTTTTTTTTCTATAACTTTTAACAGGAAAAATAATTTTAAATGCATGATGTGATTAATGTTGGGGTCCTGTTATCAACCCCCCAGGGGCCGGGTTCATACTGTGAAACAAAACTGCCAAGAAAAAGACCCGACGTGCACATGCTCCGTGCCCGAGGCGCAGCCCTTGGGGGGACCGGGGAGGCTGAGAGGACGGGGTGTGTGTCCCCCGGCCCCCAAGACTTCCTGCCATCTCTGCTGGCTGCGGTCCCAGCTGCCTGAAGCGCCTGCCTCCCCAGGCACGGCCGCCGGTGTCTTGAGCTGCAGCAGGAGAGGAGGGCTCCCCGCGGGCTCTTCAGATCCTAACTCTTAGGGACCAAAGGTGTTTTTAATCAGATCATCTTTTTCACTGATTTTCTAATGAGAAAGGAAGCCTCGCCTTGCGTTTTAACATCAACTTTTACATTATAGATACCCAGGATTGACCATGGCCATATGTTGTAACATGTTTTCACATTAAGAATGTAATTATTGCCTTATTGTATTTTTTAAAAACTAAAGTCATATTTAAAAATTCTCTTAGAAAGCAACAGGCAAACAGAAAAGATCTTTTTAAATTAAATATGTTGTTCATGCCCATTTGAAATGACTGTAAACATGTCTCCACTGTGTCTCTCTGTATTTAAGTCATAAAGTAAAAAAAAAAAATAATGAAAGAAAGAGACTTGCAGCGGGAATCCTAGTTTCCAGCCATTGACCCCATTTTGTAATAGCTGCACTTGAATTCGCCACTGTACGGATTGAGTTTTCTACTGTTTTCTGCGGTGTAGCCCTGGACCGGCGCCCTGCGGCGTGACACACGTGTGTACTGTTAATAAAACACTCTGACCAGCTGTGTCCTGCTGCCCTGGCTCGCGCTGCACAGGGGGATCGAGGTCCTGGGGGGGGGGTTAGAGGTCATGGGGGTCAGAGGTCACAGGGGGCTCGGAGGTCACAGGGGGCTCGTCCTGGAGGAGTCATGATGATTTCAGGGTTTTTTAGTCTGCAGACCCAAATATGCAACTCCAGAACACCCGCGCACTGGCAGGAAGGCAGATACAGACAGGTCGCTGGTGGGAGGACCCAGAAGGTGACTTCTGGGCTGGTAGGGGAAGGGGCAGCTAGCGTTCAGGCCCTTGGGTAGGGTTTGTAGTAGGGTGGGGGTTATTCGAGCCAGGCTGTGGGGTTTAAGTAGGAGTTCAACAAGGAGAGAGGCAGGGAAGATTCCAGTCCAAGGAAACGGCGGTGCAAGGCTGCGGGAGGGGTGTGAGCTGCGTGGGTAAGGGGGTAGCCAAGTGTGGCTGGAAATGGGCACAGGGAGAGGAAGGAAGGTAGATGAGGCAAGGGCAGACTGGAGGGGGAGGGCGCCTAACGCACCTGCCAAGGTGCACCTGTGCCTCCATGGCACATACGCTGGCCAGATGTTTGGCAGAGATGCCATTGAAAGAGGTAAGGGAACCCCACCTGGATACCAGAACTAGCCCACGAGTGGACCCTGCTGAACTCTGCAGTCAGCCAGCTGAGCCGCGGAGTGTGTGCTGTCCCCTGGATGAGACGCAGGAGGGGGAGCTTGGTGGTATGACAGGCAGAGGTGCAGTCTGGGTGAGGAGCCCAAAAGCCTCCGGGACAGGACCTCCTCAGCCACAAGAGGAGGAGGTACAGCGGAGATGCCCTGGGGCCCTGCGGGTGACAGCTTCCAAAGCCAAACGGGGCCACCACACCCATCCTTACTAACGCACTGTCCCCAGGTGCGAGGGAGCACGGCTGCTCACGCTGGGCGGAGAGGAAGGGGCTGCTCCTGTCGTGGAGGCCCAGGGTTCTGGGCCCTGCTCAGGCATCTGCTGCGGGGCCTGTGGCTTGGGAACCCCAACCCCTCCTGCACGAGAAGTGGGGACACAGTGGTGCCCCCAGCGCAGACATTTGGGACGGAAATGCCCTGGGCCACAGCTTCCTGCAGACCTGGCGGATGGGCGGCTCTCGGACCCGCAGAGCCAGGTGTGAAGTGGGGCCTGGACACACAGGTGGCCCCTGGGGCCTCCGGACGGTTGTGTCCTTCCCTCGGGGCCTTGCAGCAAACTGACTGAAAAGGCCCCCAAGGTCAGGTTCCCCACAAGTCTCCACCCAGCCCCACGCTCACGTATTATTACTTTGGCAGAGCTGGGGATTAAACCCAGGCATCCAAGCTGACCCGCAGCCAGCCCCAACTGTTCGTTTTTTAAATTTATTTCATTTCATTTTTTAAATTTTATTTTGTACAGTGTCCTTATAAGTCGCCCAGGCTGGGTCCTGAGATGCTGCTGCCTCAGCCTCCCCAGTGGCTGAGGATTACAGGGATGTGCCACTGTGCCTACCCACCCAACCCCTCTCTTGATTTCCAGGCTGCCCACAGCTGTCCATGTGGTCCTTACTTAGCAGGGCTCTCACCACGGCTCAAGCAGAAGCCCCACTACCCTGTCCCTGACCCCACCCAGCACCCTGGACACTTCTATTTTGTCTAAGGGAGGAGAACGGCAGGCCGAGGCAGGGTGCTGTCCTCAAGGTGCTCTGTCCACCAGCTTGCAAGCTTCCATCCCTTTCTTTGACACTGGCTGTTGCCGCTCAGCTCTGAGCCCCAGCTGGAGGCCACCTTTTGGTTGAAACCCTGGTTTCAACTAGAGCCACATCTCCCTCTGCACGCCCTGGGGAACACTGCGGGCCCCTCCTCTGTGAGTGGGCATCCACACAGGCCCCCAGCAGGCCAGGCACATGGTGGCGTGCAGGGAGCCAGCCGAGCTTTCTGTCATTGGCACTGCGTGAGGCGCCTTCCTGCACTCCAAGGCCTCTGCTTCCCGTGCACAGCCCCGTGGGACCCACTGTCCCGCCAGGTCAGCAGGCGGCTCCAGAAGGAAGAGGGTGGGCCTGTGAAGCTCGTCACACCCGATGCCCAGGAGGAGACGCCAGCCAGGGCCAGGCACGCCACAGGCAGGGACAGTGACAAGCAGCCAGGGCTCTGGCTTCCTCCTCCACCCTGGAAACAGAGTGGGAGACCAGAGCACAGGACCCCGTTCCTCTGCCCATCACCCCAGGCCTGGTGTCCCCACCCCAGAGTCCTGCATCCATCCTCACCCTCACCCTGCCAGCCCAGTGCCAACGTGGCCTCCGCTGCCCAGATTTTGGGCCTCTGGCACCAGGCTGGGTCAGGGCCCCTGCTGGGCCTGCGTCGCTGCTGCCTGCTTCCCCTCATCTGGGGCTTCCTTCGAAGTTGGCTTCTGCCCGGGTCCAGTCCAGGGCCACAGCTCCAGGTCATGCCCAGGTCCCAGCCCGATGCCCACCCAGGCCCCGCACAAGGGCAAAGGCTCCTGAGCCTGGCTTGGTTCTGAGGTTTTGATGTTGCACACCAGCTTGTACTCCGTGAGTGTGTCCTGGCACCGAGCAGGTGCGTGTGTGAGCACGTATGTGAGCATGTGCGCAGAACGTCGCTTCCACCCCCACCTCCCCGATCTCTCCCATTCCCAGCCCATGTGGGGACCTGCCTTGAGGGGCTCCCCGGAGGCCCCTGCATGGTGGCTCTGGGCAGAAGCCCCAGGAGCCTGCATGTAGGGAGACGCAGAGAAGACCTTCGTGAGAAGGCAAGAGCTGACCGTATTCGTTTCATCTTTGTTAAAAGCATCACAAATGATTTATTGATTTTTAAAAAGGAAAAATAAGAAAGAATGCATGGCCTCTGTTATGTGCATATACCATGGGTGGGACCCCATCAGGGTGGGGGACACACTGGACACCACCTTCCGTCCAGCACCTGCCCTGCAGCCCACGGGAGAGCCTGTGCCTCGGGCACACGCGCCTTCGTGACCATCTGTGAGGCCGCAGACCTAAGTATTGATCACCTCTATGGTTACGGAGATGGGGGCGACAGGGTTATGTCGGGTGACATCTCATTCCCAGGGTCCTGGGGCCACACACCCAAGATGTGCTGAACAGAAATAATAACATAAAATACGAGGAAAACACAGATAACTAAGGGAGGCCCCGACACACACAGCCGAGAAAGCGGAGCTGAGCGGCAGGGAAGGTCCAAGCCTGCACCGGCCCTGCAGACACCGGGAGGCAGGCGGCCCCGTGCTGGCCGAGCCAGGACTGTGCTCAGGGAGTCCCGCACTTGGGCAGGACAGGCGGTGGCCTGCAGGAGGCAGGTCCCTGCGCAGGTGTCTAGACAGAGGTGTGCAGGCCACGGAGGTGGTGTGAGAGAGCCTCAGCCTCTGCCGCTCTGGGTCCCTGTCCCCAGTCCCTCCCCCTGGAGGAAGTAAGTGCACAGGGCGGGGGTCCAGGGCAGGCAGCCGTGGGAGAGGTGTTAGTGCGGCCAGGCTGGGTGCCTGCTGTCCCTGAGTCCCATCTGTGACCAGGCGGATGCCAAGGGCCACCCACAAGGCGAAGACGGAGCGCTCTGGTGTGAGAGCCCATCCCTGGGCACCCCTGACAGGCCGCGCCTCTTCCTCTGGAAGAGGAGTGTCAGCCCGGTACCAGCCTGGGCCCTGGCGTGGCTCTCAGAACCTGGGCCGGAGTGGGTGGGGAAGGAGGAGGAGGAGGGGGCACTGACTCCATTCCAAGGCAAAAGGTGAAGGCCCCGCTGCCCGTGTCCCTGCCTTGCTGCCTGAGCAGCTGAGGCCGCCCTGCTTGAAGGGCAGAGGCCTGGCTCTGGGGCCACCCTTGCTACCGTCTTGCTGTGACCTCGGGAGGTCTCCCCCTCTCCCCATCTTCACGGAGAGGGGCCTGCTCCTGGGGGCAGCCTGCTCTGCCCCCATCCTGGCTGGTTCCACGAGCGCCCCAGCTGTGAGCTGTGCACTGGGTTCATTGGGGGGTGCTGAGCCCTTTCTGGGGTGGCTGTCTCTTTCCAGAGCTCAGGCTGGGCAACCAGGCTTTGAGAGGGCGCCACCTGTGGCGGGAGCGGGAACTGCAGGCAGGGGTCCCTTCACCAAGGCCCCGAACCCCTAGGGGACACCAGGGGAAACCCCAGAGAGGGACCACTGGGTGCTCTGGAAACGGGGTTCCCAAGAATGTGGCTGACAGAGCCACCCAGCTGGCGACTGCCTGGCCGTACAAACAGAAAGATAAAGGAGGCCCCAGTGCGAACAGCCACCAGAGAGAATTTACATCATCTGCAGTTTACAGAGGAACAGAGGCGGGGAGGTGCGGACATGGCCCAGCCCACAGGCTGCCGGGGCTCTGGGGTGCCCTCTGCAGGGGCAGGTGGAAGGGGTCCGGCCAGCTGTGCGAGGGCCCTGCGCCGGACGCCTGAGGGCAGGGCGGGGCCCTGGGCTCCTGCAGGGCTGGGTCTGCTCCTGAGCCTCTGTGACCTGGATGGGTGTGGGCTGAACAGGGAGGAGGCCTGTTCCTGTAGGGGGCTGGCGGAGGTGGCCTCTGGGCAGGTCTCGGGACGTTGCTCCAGTGGCAGCAGTGGTCTGAGCCCCGCGGTCGGTCGGCGGGAGGCGAGCACTGGCCGGGCATCAGCTCACCAGGTAGCCGTGCATCTCCCGGGAGTTGATGCTTAGGACCACACCGGAGTGGTTGCCTAGGAACAGAACAGAGGCTGCCGTGAACACGGCCCAGCTGGGGACCACGTGGGGGCCGTGCAGGGACACGGTGGTGACCTCTCCGCGCATCAAGGCAGCAGCGTGAGTGCACACCCGCAGTTCCTGCGGCCCATGCTGTGTGGTCGTGGGGTCCCCATGTTTCCCCGGGGTGACCGAACGGGGGTGTGCCCAGTGCCAACAAGCAGTGCATCCAAAGGAGGTCTGCCGGGTGAGGCCGCACCACTGACCTGGCCTGGGTAGCAAGGGGATGTGGGAGGGGCTGAGGCTCCGCCCCCTCCTGGCAGGGGCTGCTGCAGGGAGAGAGGGCGGCAGGGTACCTTCAGGGACTGGTCACTTGGGTGGTCTGGCAGGGGCTGCTTGGGAGCCCAGGGAACAGGGAGGGCCCAGGACTGAGTTGCTCTGAGATGTGGTCCCCACCCTAGTTTGCGGGATGGTGGCCAAGTGCCTGGCACTGCCAGGGCTGTGGCAGATGGGTCCAGAAAGGCACTCAACAAGACCCTCATCACACTGACCCTGTGCCATCACCTGTGACAGCAGGGTCACCGTGGAGGCCCCTCTGATAGTCCCTCCGAGGGGTCTCCACGGGCGATGCCTGGTGCTCATGAAGGGTGATTCAGATATTGTTAGGCTCTTGTTATTTCAGGGCTTAAAAGCCAGGTTCCTGTTTTTTGGGGATCCCATGGCCCTCCCCGGCAGGGCTGTGACCCTGCCTGCAGGAGGGTGGGGTCGGATGCCTGGGACAAGCCACCTCTGTCTGCACACAGGCATGTCGGGGTCTTGAGGTACGCAGGGCACTGGGAGGCCTGCAAGGGGCACACACAGGGGGAGCCTTGGCTTCCCATCCGAGGGACAGGCACAGCACCCGCGTGTGCCTCTTGGGGGAGATTATGGCCAGAAGGGCTGAGCCTGGGGCCAGTAAATGCCAGGTGTCTGAGATCCAGCACTGCGCTGGCAGATGTAGGAGGGTCAAGGGCCCCAGTGTGGGTGGGGTGGATGGTGGGGCATGGGTGGGGACAGGCACCCCCACAGCACTCAGGAGAGCTGGAGGACCCAGGCTCCGAGTCAGCCTGACCCGGCTGGGAGCCAAGCTCAGCCTCCGAGAGCTGGGAGGTGCCAGGTGAGAGGCAGGGCCCTTCTGAGCCTTGGTCTCCACGGTGTAACGGGAAGGCTGTGGTTTCTGCCGCATGTGGTTCTGGGGACCTAATGCAACCGGGATGGGCGTGGCTGTTAAAGTCAGGTCATGCCAACAGCGACAACCGGTCCTGATGGGGTCCGGGTCCTGAGCTCTGCCTTGGACTCTCGGCCGGGACACTTGTGGTCACTGTGGCAGTGGGTGCCGTCGCCGTACTTGGTGCACAGACAGGCTGGGCAGCGAGCAGAACTGGGCGAATAGGGCTGGGGTTGGCGGCCTGCTGAGACCAGGGTGCATGCCGTCCCTCCTCCTGTGCCTCTGGGGCCTCTGGGGCTGCTGATCTCAGGGCAGCTGACCCTGACTGACCAGCAGAGAGGGCCCCCACGCCCAGACCTCTCCAGCCTGAGCCTGGGTTCTCCCACCTGTCGGGAGGCAGAGGAGCTGCGCTGCCAGCGCTGGACGGCATCGTGCCCCTCGCCTTGGGGGGTGGAATTCTGGGGGTGCCTCGGTCCACCAGCAAGACTTGGCTTAGGGCTGTGAAGTGGGTCCTGCCAGACCTGGGTACTGCCGTGGCCGATTCCTCAGCTACTTGGAGTTCCTCAGCTGAGCCATGGGGGACCCAAGCCATAGAATGGCCAGATGGAGGCTTTAGGGACAGCATGGCTGAGGCCCACCTGCCCGCCTATGCTGACTGCCGGGCACTGAGGCTTTGAGCCAGCTGGTGCAGATGACAGTGTTCTGCCCGGCAGTGGAGCGAGGAGGCCAAGAGGGCGAGTGACCTGGCCAATGCCGTCTCCCGGGACATGGCCAGGAGGGCTCCCTGTGGAGGTCCAGCCTCCCCAGCCTCCCTGACTCCACAGGGCCAAGTGGGCGGGACGCACTGCCCAGCATGGCAGCCTCAGCTCCCACCGCCTCAGGCTCTGGCCCCGTGCCCAAGGCCCTGCGCGCTCACCCTGCATGGCGCCCGGCGCGTCCTCACTGTGGCTCACGGGGCTCGTCATCTCCTGCTCCTTCTCGTTGTGCATCTGTGCGTACACCGTCCTGCCTGGGCGTTTCCTGCGGGCACAGGGCGCTCAGCCCTGGCGGGGGCCACAGCCATGCCTGCTCCCCTTCCCCCGCCCTCCTGCCTGACCCTGCAGCCCACGGCCGTGGGCCCCCGGCGCTGATGCGCCTGTATCTCCCACTGCCCAGCAGCGTGGGGACAGTGACCGAGCACTTGAGAAGGGCTCGGGGCCACCCAGGGTCCGGGCGACAGCAGCAGGAGCTCTGCACTCTGCACCGCGCCTCCCCTCCTCCTGTCCTCCCTGCCCCGGCCTCTTTCACAGATGAAGACACTGAGGCTCGGAGACCAGAGGGCACGGCTCTCCCGCAGGACCTGCACCCAGTGGTCCTTGTGTGGAGCCGAAGGCGCAGGGACACAAGAGCCTTGGAACACGGGGTCCTGGGGCTCCCCAACCCTGGAGCCAGGGTTCCGGTATATCACAGAACCCGAGGCCTGCCAGCCTCCCCAGTGTGGGACGCAGCTGGGGCTCCACCCGCTGACCAAGCACGGACTCAGGACCAGAGGCCTGGGATCACCGCCCCTCTCTCCTGCCAGCCGTGGGGCTCACACAGTAATTGTGCAGTGCAGAGGGAGCAGATGGGAGGGGCGATTCTGGCTGGGCACCTGCGGGGGGGGGTGTGCTCTTCACTTAGGAGGGCTCTGTGGGGTGACTGATTTCAAGGTGCCTACAGGACACCCAGGTGGACCTGTCGGGAAGCCAGGGCCTATCTGAGTTTGGAAATAAAGAAAGGCCACGCTTGGATCCTCCTACGGTCCCTCTGTGCAGCAAACTCCTATGTATCCTTCAGGATCCCACTGAGAAATCTCCTCCTTGGGGCCGTGCTCCCAGGGGAGCTGAGTCAGCACTGCACCCCAGAGGTGGGGCCAGTGTCCCATATGGGGGCACCTGTGAGAGGACCCAGGGGAGGGGAGACAGCTGTCCAGGCCTGGGAAGTAGGTCTAGGAGGACTCTGGACTCAGACAGGCATAAAGAGAAGGTGGCTGTACCCTTCAGTGGTCCCCACGGGGGACCCAGGTGGGGTGATCTATGGAGGCCCCAGAGGTGGCTCAGCAGAAGGGACAGCAGGTTCAGCAGGGACCCCTTTCTGGGTCCAGGGCCCAGGGCCCAAGGGAGGTTAGTGTGACTGGAGCTCCAGTGACCTTGCATGGGGGGGTCCCTTCTATGACCTCAGGGGTCCTAGCCCCGGCAGGAGCCCCAGCCAGAGTCCCACTGCCCCATTGGCACGGAGCCCCTGCGGGAGGAGGGAAGCAGCTGTCCTGGTTCACAGGGGCACCAGAGTCGCAAGCAGGCCCCCACAGCCCTCCTCCTGCCGCCCGGCCCAGCCCAGAGCCACCCGGCGGAGCGTAGCCACCTTGCCTTTTGAACTTGTAGAGGACGATGGCGCCCACCGCAAAGAGCCCCACGACGAAGAGGACCACCACGGCCCAGTATCCCCCACTGCTGCCCAGCCTCTGCGACTCTGCAGACAAAGCAGCCAGGGCCTGGGATCAGCCCGTCCGCCGCCTCGGCCTGGACGGAGGCCGCTTCCCCCCGTCTGGCCGAGAGAGGGCAGCAGGTGACCAGGGACAGTGCAGCCATGTGGCCTTTGGGAACCTGGTCGCCTGCCTGTTGACTCAGCGTGGTGGGGACAGCAGTGTGTGGGCCTCGTCCTGCGGAGGGGACCCAGGGACGCACCCGAGGAGCTGCCCATTCCTGGGGGGGGATGTGTGCCCCGCAGGGGCAGCACAAATGAGCAGGGCCTCGTGGAGGGCAGAGCAGACGGGTCGGGGTTGAGCAGGGGATGAAGGTGAGAGTGCTGGCTGTGACCCTGGAGGGACAGTGAAGCCCCTGCGCTGCCCCTGGCCAGGGCCAAGAGACTAAGCGTGGATGAGCACGGGGCGTGGGAGCCGCTCACCTGTGTCCGTGTCCCTCAGGGCCACCAGGATGCGCAGCCCGCCCTGCAGGAGGAAGCTGATCTTCTGGGCGCTCAGCACCTGCCGGATGGCTGTGAGTCTCTGGAAGCAGGACAGAGGTGGCCTGGGACCTCACCTGTGAGCTGGGTAGCACCCAGGTGGTCACCCCGGAACTAGAGGAACGTGAAGGGGACCCTGCCTTGGCCACGGAGGCAGGCAGCCGGGAAGTCCAACCCTGCCGTGGGACAGGAGGCTGTGCGGCGTGGAACACCAAGAGGAGGCTGAGGCAGGACAGGTAGGAGACGGGGTGGGGTGCAGTGCCGGGGGGGGGAGGGCAGGCAGACACGGCCAGTGGTGGGTCCCAGGGACCTCCTGGGGTCTGAGTGACATGGCAAACCCCTGGCCGTCTCCTGCTGACCCCCGTTTCCATGTTTCTAGGTCCTCCTGGACGGACCTCAGAGCCCCGTGTTCTGTAATGGGCACAGGTGGGGGCCGCCTGGCCTGCCTGCTCCGGCCCTCTGGGGAGAAAGGGCGGGACCCTGCTAACCCCACCCCAGCGCCCCTGGCCACCATTGTGGGGCGACTCCTCAGGGCTCAAGTGCATACGAAGTGTTGGGGGCAGGGAGGGCTGCTGTCACCGGCTGCTGTCACCGGCTGTCCCTGAGGCCCCCTCTGCACGGGACACCTCAGGGAGGACAGTGATGGCTCTGCTTCTGCCAGTCAGGGGCAGCCTGGGCGAGCTGCTGGGATTCCCAGGCCAGTTCCTGCTCAGGGTGAGTCGGGATCCTGGGCCTGGGGCAGGGGGTGACTCTTCCCTGAGCTGTGGCCGAGCCCTACCCTCCAAAGAGCTCCCCTCCTGTACACCCCGCCAGCCCTCCGGTCATCTCTGACACTGGCTCCCGAGGAGCAGGGTGGCCTCTCGCCATGGCTGTGATGTGCAGTTCCCTGCATCTGTCGGGTCCCTGGTCATCTCCGGAGGAGCGACTACACAGGCCCTTTGCCCCCCTCTGCACCGGGCTGCCTGTTCTCTCGCTGTTGAGTTGCGTGCGTGCCCCCCCCGGGCTTGGATGTCACCCCTCGGCAGATGTCTAGCTGGCCAAGGTTTCCCCGGATCCTTTGGCAGCCGTGTCGCCCCATGTTTCCGCAGCTGCGCGGACGCCCCTGGTTTGGAGAAACCCGCCCGCCCGTGTCGGCTTTGCAGCCTGTGTCTGGGCCCCGATCCGAGCGTGCTGGGGAGCTGCCCCTGGTTTCCTCTCCCACAGCAGCTCTGCACTTTCCAGCCCTGTCTGAGCCTCTGGCCCAGTTTGGTTGATTTCTGGGTGTGACGTGAGTGAGGGCGGCTCCATCTGCCACACAGGGACTGCTTCCCTGAAGCATGTGCTGAAGAGACGCCCCGCGCCCTTGGTCTCTGAGCCTCTGCTGACAGTCAGCTGACCCCCAACATGTGGATTTGCTTCTGTGCGCTCACGCCTCTTCTGTTCCCTGTCGCTCGGGTCTGCACCCCGCCAGACACGCAGTTTGGTCACCGAGCCAATGGTCTGGAGTGGGGTGCCGGGATGTGCCCAGCTTGTTCCTTTCATTCAAGGCAGCTTTGGCTGTGCCGGGTCTGCTGTGCTTCCCTGGGACGTTTATGACACGTTTCTCTTTCTGTGACAATGCCACTGGACGCTCCCCAGGGATGCAGCGAATCAGCCGACGGCTTTGGGTGCTGCAACCTTTCACTCCCCAAACACCGGAGCTCCTTCCGCGGTCCATGCCGACCTCTGCTTTTTGCTGCGATGTCTTACAGCTTCTGGGCGCAGGTCTTTGGCCTCCTTGGTTAAGCTGATTCTTAAGCCTGTAATTTCAGTTGTTGGTACGGAATGTGACTGCTGCCTGGTGCCTTTCTCCCACGGTTGAGCACAGTGCTGCTGCTGGTGTCCCCGTGCCCCGTGCCGTCCCCGCGGCCCTTGCTGCTCTTCTGCCCCGCGTCCATGCTTAGGGCTGACATCCACAGGGTGCCCGGTCTGTGTTCTTCTGCCTGGGCACTGGTCCCTCCGTCCAGGTCACCTGCACGCATGTGTCGCCAGGACCCATGTGGAGACACCCTGTCACCATCCAGCGCGCCAGCTGTGCTCACACCAAGCTCGGTCCAGCGTCCTCAGCACAACCCAGGCCAGGTGTGAGCCAGGGTGTCTACCCAGCTCCTGTCACTTCATCACCTCCAAGAGAACTCCCAGCCTCAGCGTCATCTCCTTTTCCCTGCCTCCAGCCCTGTGGCCACCACCCGACCCTGTCTTTGTGGCTGTCCATCTCTGGACAGAACTGCAACTGCAGTCCCGGGGTCACGTGGCTCCCGAGGTCCTGCTTCATCACGTGTATCTGGGCGTCTCTTCTCCTCGCGGCTGGAGGGGCTCGCTCCTTCCACAGATGGGCCACACTGCGCCTCATCCGCCGATGGCCGCTTGGGTCATTCCTGTCTTGGGCAACGCCCTGTTTGCTCACACCTGTGCATGACCGTGACCATGACCATGAGCCCCATCCCTCTTGAATGTACACTACAGGTGGAGTTGCCAGGCCATGGGGCCCCTGTGCGTTTAACCTTGTGAGAAACTGTCAGGCTGCTTTCCGCCCCAGCTGCCCCCAGCCTCCAGAGCCTGAGGGTCTGATCCCTCCTCATCAATACTGGCTTTGTCTGCTTTTTGATTTTAGCAGCTGCTGTGGGTGCACAGGGCCCGGGATTCACTTTGGGTCCCCTTCCGCTCCCGTCATGCAGCAGGACTTACATCCCTGCCCAGGGCTCCTGTTGGGCAGTTGTCTGGGGTAGTGAGATGTCTGCCATCTGCACGGAGGTCCAGCTGCCCTGGGCATAGTCCCTGCTGCCAAGTGTCTCCTGAGCCCCTGTATCTCCCAGCAACCCTTGCAGTCAGGTTGAGGCCATGTGACCAGCTCTAGCCAATGATGTGGGAGGGAAAGCAAGGACAGCCCTGGTGAAGTTGTCCACCCCTCTGCTCAGTCTCCTTGGAGGCCATGTGACCACCAGAGGGTGGAGCCACAAGGCGCAGGTCAGCACCTTGAATCAGACTGCACCATGGCATGAAAGAAGCCTTCACGGGGTGCACTCAGGGGTGACCGCAACTGGCCCCTGGGCCTCCAGCCTGTGGCTGTGCAGGGGGACCGGGAGTCTGGTGGCCATGGGACGTACCTTGTCATTCGAGAGGCTCCTCTTCCTCGTGGGCCTGGGCGGGGGGAGCAGCACATACAGGTCAGCCACGGTGGGCAACCCCGGCTTCACCACTGTCACCAGCAGCTCCTCAGCGACACTGGTCTCCTGCAGAGGAGGACACTAGGATCCCCTTCGTCTCCCTGTCCCCTGCCACATGCCAGACACCGGGGACACCTCCTTTCCTCCTGTGTAAGTTAGGGTGCTGGCTGGCCTGCAATCCATGGCACCTGCGCTGCTTCCTGTGTGTCCCCTGCCCTCAGGCCCTGTGTGGCTCCGCTGCCTCCCCCGGCCGAGCCACAGCCTCCCCAGGCTCCGCTGCTGTGGCCTCTCTGCCTCCTGGGAACCCCACCCCACACACGGCCCACTCACTTGGGGATTGCCTTTGCACCATTCAACACTCAGGACACTTTCACCAGCACTATGCACAGGACGGGGGGAAGACGGCCAGATGGCCTCAACCTGTGACCCTCCCGCTGGGGGTGCCCTGTGTCCACACAGATGGCTACTTCTGCTTCCTGTGAGCACCTCAACAAAGCAGCCGCATTTGGTACTCTGCCCGCAAAGTCCAGCTCGGAAGAGCAGCTCAGTCAGCAAATGCAGGTCCCCTGCAGAGACTGGACCCGGACGTGTGCCCCCGGCTGGCATGCTAGGTGAGCGTGGACACCGCAGTCCCGTCCCTCCGCCTCGAGGTGCTGCCTAGCCTGACACCACCCCTGCTGACCCTGTCCTGCCCGGGGTCACCTTGGAGAGCAGCCGGGTGACCACCAGGCCCACGTCCTCCCTCCACTCGGGCGTGTTGGGGTTGAAGGCGTCTAGCTCCTGGGAGAAGTACAGAGGCAGTGCCTGGAACTGATCTGAGGAAGCAGAGACAGGATTGCTGGTCAGCGCTGGTCAGCCTGGCCACTGTCCCCGACCTTCTGAAGCAGGCCAGAGAGTGTCCCGCTTCTGCCTCTGAGAAGCAGGGGTTTCCCTGTGAGCCAACAGTGGTGCAGCTGCCCCAGGCGGCCACGCTCTGGCTGCGGTATCCCAACAATGGTTCTGACAGTGACGCTGATGACGGCCACGACAGAGACCTGGGAGGGAGGCTTGGCAGGTGCACGCTGTCCTACGAGAGTCACCCCTCCACTCACGAGGGTGTATACACCATCATTCCTGAGGAACCCTTGGGCTCTGCTTGGTCTCCCCATCAGATTAAAAGTCCCTTAGAGAAAAGGTCTTTTCTTTGTCTTCTCCTGTGTTTCCTGGGCTCTATGGCTCAGAGCTCTCTAGAGTCCCCAGGTCTCCCAGGGCCAAGCCGTCATCTATCTGCTGACTTCTGAGCCTCAGGTGAGAGAAGGCCCTGCAGCGCTGAGGGGCTTTGGGTACTAGCCAGCGTCCTATAGCAAGGGTGGCGATGACCCCCATGAGCTCCTGACTCAGCGATGAGGAGGACCGCTCAGTGGTGGCCTCCTCTTGGGCATGAAGGCTCCACAGGGTAGCCTGCCCAGCACACAGTGTGCCATGCACATTTAACTGATGGCTGCTGTCTATGTTGGGAGCCCTCTTCCTTTACAGCAAGGTTGGAGAATCCTCAGACAGGCTGTAGGGGTACCCAGACCAGGGTCCAGGCCTGGCTATTGCTGCTGGGGGGCCCATGGGGTCCCTGAGCAGCGTCTACACCCATGTTTGTGTCTCTTGTGTACCATGAGACGTGGCGTTTATTTTACAGCTGGGAAACAGCCCAGAGAGGCAGGGCTGTGTCCCCCTGGCTCCTCTCTCCCAGCCCAGGGCCGCCTGGGGTGCCCAGGACATCCTAGCTGCACTAGGCCCCAGGGCGGGGACTCACCCAGCACGCGGACCACCCTGGAGTCCTGCAGCACTGAGCTCCCGCAGGCCGCCTGCACCGTCACACGCACTTCCCCCGGGGCCGCAAACCGCGTGGTCACAGAGTTGTCCAGGGAGAGGAGGGGCTGCGGGCAGAGGGGGGCTCAGGCTGGCCCAGCAGCTGCTGGATGCTGTGTCTTGAGCCTGCAGCCCTCCCTGCTCCCAGCCCTCTGTGTTGGGGCTCCCAGCTGCTGTGCGGGTCTTTGCGCTGGGACACAGGGCAGCTGTTTGCTGAATGAGTGTCAGATGCCCATCTGGGGGGCGGTCTCAAGGCCCAGCTTGAGCATGGGTAGCATTACCCTCTCTCCAGGCATTCTGCTGATGTGGTAGACTCTTGCTCAAACACTGTCCATGGCTCCCAGGCTCCCAGTGCTTACAGGGTGTGACTTCTTTGATTTTGTCCACCCCAGGGACATTCTCTTCTCTGCCATCAACCCTGACCACCCCCACTGGAAATGGCCTCCCCACTCCTGATGCTGTTGCACACCTTCCCTGCCCCTCTTGTGACCCTTGTCACACCCCGACTTGAGTCAATCACTTTGTCCCATCTTTATTACAGGAAGAGGGAGGCGTTGCCCCGCCCATCCTGTGTCCACTGGGCAGATGGCTCCAGGATTGCAGCCTCTCAGTGGCATCAGGAGGAGCACCAGGGGTGGAGAGCAGGTCCCACCCTGTCCCCGCTGCCTGACAGCTAGGCAGCGCAGGCCCAACTCTGAACCCCACACAGGAGCCTGCGGGAAGGGGGGGCTGGGCCAGCGCACCTGCAGGCTGTGGCCGATCCACCAGTAGAAGACAGTGAGGTTGGGATTCAGGGGTAGCAGCACAGCTGTGAGGTTCACATCTTGGTTGATGCCAATGACGGGGGCCACCTCCAGGTAGAGGGCTTGCAGGGGGGCTGCAGGGGCCCAAGAAGCCAGGTTAGACAACATCTGGGCACAGGGCGTTACAGAGGCTGCTGAAAGTTCATGGCCACTGCCAGCTTCAAAGCTGCCTCCATCACCACCACCACCACCACCACCACCCTCACCACCACTACCATTATCATCACGATCACCATCATCACCACCATCACTGCCATCACCATCATCACCACCATCACTGCCATCACTATCACCATCATCACCACCATCACCACCACCACCCTCACCACCATCACCATCACCACCATCAGCATCACCATCATCACCATCACCATCATCACATCATTATTATCATTACTATCACTATTATCACATCATCACCACCACTACCATTATCATCACTATCACCATCATCACCATCACCGCTATCAGTATCACATCATTATCAGCATCACAATCATCACCATCATCACCACCATCACCATCATCATCACCACCACCATCACATCATCATTATCATTACTATCACTTTTATCACCACCATCATCACTGCCAGCATCACCACCACCATAATCACCATCACCATTATCAACATCATAATCACTATCACCATTACCACCACCACCACCATCACCACCACCATTATCATCACTATCACCATCACCATCACCGCCGTCACCATCATCACCTCCATCACCACCATCACCACCATTATCACATCATCATTATCATTACTATCACTATTATCACATCATCACCACCATCACCACCACCACCCTCACCACCACCATTATCATCACTATCACCATCATCACCATACCGCCATCAGCATCACCATCATCACCGTCATCACTGTCATCACCATCATCATCACATCATCATTACCATTACTATCACTATTATCACCACCATCATCACTGCCAGCATCACCACCACCATAATCACCGTCACCATTAACAACATCATAATCACTATCACCATCACCACCATTAGCGCCATTGTTATCACTACCATCATCACCATCATCATCACCATCATCATTACCATCGTCACCATCACTACTTTCAGCATCACCACAACCACTACCATCATCATCTCCACTGGCCCAGCCCTGAGGGACTCCCTGTGTTTCCCCAGTGACCAAGTCCTCTGTCACAGGAGGTGATTCTGGGCCTCACAGTGGCGACAGACTTACAGTTGACCTGCACGAAGAGCACAGCTTCGTCATGCCCCGCCATGTTCTCTGCCCTGACGGACACACGGTAGACACCAGGGCTCTCGTAGCGGTGCCGGATGGGCTCACCGGTCAGTGTGAGATTCACGTACATAGCCTTGAAGCCGTCCCCCAGGTCCACCTGGTACTTGGTGGTCAGGACATCGCCCTGCAGAGAAACACCACGAGGCCACTCAGCACTGGGGACCCACAGAAGACAAGATCCAGGCCTGTCCCGGCCTCTGCAGAGACGGGGCGACGGCCACGGCCCAGGTCGGCATGGTCCAGCTGTAGAGGTGGGAGCTGGAGGGGCTGCAGGTGTCCTTAGGGAGGCCGTCTGGGGGCTAGTGTGGCCGGGAGACCCTCAGGCAGAGCCTGGAGCTTGGGAAGCGGTTCTCATTCCAAGGAGGGCTCCAGTGATCACAGTCAGGAAACAGCCAGGAAAGCAGGACTGTGCCTCCTCCGGCACCTTCGCTGTGGTGCCTACGGCGTGTCCCTGGGGCAGCAGCCCAGGTGGCGCTCACAGGCTCTCAGGGAGGTGCCCCCTCGTGTCCTCCGCCCATTCTCCCACTGCAGTGCGGGCTCCGGCTGTGGCGTTCCGAGGGTTCTCTGCACAGACGGGAGCTGGTGGCCTGGCCTCTGTGGCTGGGAAGCATCCCTCTGGAGTGCGCGGAGCTCTGCATCCCCCTGGCTGGCCCGTCCCACAGCCGAGGCGTCCCGGCCACACCCGGCTCAGCACCTTGTCCTTCCAGGCTGCACGCTCACGGCCAGCCTGAGGGCTCCTCACTGCACCTCGAATGCTCCCCCACACTTCTCCTGAGTGTGGCTTTCCACTTTCCACGAAAGCCCGGGGTCCATCTGTGTCCGTCCTGCTCAGTGGGGAGGTCCAGGCAGCATCCTCCCTGGGTAGAAGCACTCGGTGACAGACAGGATCAATGCGCCTGCCAGGCGCAGTGTCACACCCTGTCCCAGCCTTACGCAGCTGCAGCCCAGGCTCCAGGGCTGTGGCCTGTGGGCGTGGCCTGTGTGTGAGTGGGTGTGTGACCAGACTTTCATGGCACACAAGTGTCTCCAGGAGTGCCGGGGAGCATGAATGTGTGCAACTGCATGTGTGAGCTGGTGTGTACGGGTGTGTATGGGTGTGTGTGCGTGTGTGTGTGTCCACTCCAGTCCTACTCTCTTGCACCCTTTTCCCAAGGAAGCCAGTATCTTCTTCCAGGCAGGGGAGCATAGGGTGCCCCTTCTTCCAAGAGCATCTTCAGGTAGTTGCCCTCCGCTCCCCCTGCCCAGCCCCTGCTTGGGCTCCAGTGCTCAGCCAGGGGTCCGGCAGGTCCCCTGGGCAGGTGGGACAGTAGCCTTGTGGGCTCAGGGATCCAGGGGCTGCTGGGATCCAGGTAGGCTGTGCGGACGCAGTGCAGGTGTGGACTTGGGGCTCTAGGGGGCAGCAGCTGCCCGTGTCTCCTGGAAGTCCCCACAGGCCACCCTGAGGGGACGGGGTTTTGTCCTCCTGCGGCCCAACATACTGCTGTGAAGAGAAAGCCCAGCCCCACCGCCCCAGGGCCACCTCCATGGCTCAGTCCAGCTGGTGTACAAGGAGACCCAGGGTGAAGGGAAGCAGAGCCCGGAGCTTGGGTCTAGGGCCACGGACTTGGTCTCCTGCAGGGAGATCCCAGGCTGGGACCCTGACACTTGGTACAGCTCGGCTCTGAGGGAGTGACCTCCGCTGCCCAGGCCTCAGCTTCCCCGCCTGTGCAGCAGGCTGGCCAGAGCGCCCCGCACAAGGGGGAGGAATAAAGGAGGTGGCTGCCTAAAGGGCTTGGTGGGTGCCAGCCGTCCTCCGCAGCCTCAGTTTCCCTGTTTGCACGAGACCAGGGTCCCGCTTTCCAACTCCAAAGACCTCTGTCACCTGCCTGCCACCCGCTGGGGCACTGTGCTTCAAGGGACACTGGCCACGTTCCGTGGCTGGGGATTCCCATGTCCAGCATCCCGGGGCCTGCGAAGCCTGGGTCCCTGGTCCCCGGAGTCCCCCAGGCGTGAAACGGGTGACTCTGAGTTTCCTGGGTCCTTTTCTGTAGTTCTGAATTTTCTGTGTGTTTGTAAGTTTTCCGAATTTTCATTTCCAAATCTCTTACAGTGAGCATTAGTCATTTCTATCATCAAAAACATAAGCATGCTCTGTACTCATTTTAAAAGACTAGAAGGAAATACAGAAATTAATAGCTCCCTTGGGGAAGCACATTTGTGTTCTGCATTTCTTGTTACGTATTTTCCAAATATTCCACAAGGAATATATA